AAGAAAAAACTAATTACATTTTACATATATATTTTATTATTTTATTTTTAATAGCGTATATAGATTTTTATTTTTATACACACTATGAACCTTAAAGAGGTTCTACTGTATTCAATAAACAGTTTTTTTAGGTGGTCTTTTACCCATTTCTCCATTTATTTTATATATTACAGTGGTCGCCGCTTATTAGAGTCACTTTGGAACGAATGTTCCAAAAAAATTTAAAAAGTGCTTAAAATTAAAAAAGTTATTTACTTAAAAAATATTTACTAATCTATTACCTTCTTGACTGAGGGTGTGGTCGGAACGCGGAAAAGGTCGGTTTATCTAAATATACAGAAACTTTCGAAGACAAAATGTTATCAAATTTATTTATTAAATTATTTTAAATATTATTTTAAATTACATACGTATATTAAATTAAATAAATAAATAATAAAATAAATAAAAAATAGATAAATAGTAAACTGGAAATTAATTTTATAAATAAATCTAGCTACATACTATAAATTGGAAAATCCAAATGAGCATATTTTTTAAGTTTTCATATCAATTATACGTGGATGCAATCAGCCATTCAACATAGTCACATAGGTCGACCCTATTTGTGTTAATTGTGTAAAGGCCGACGGGCCTAGCCGTCAAGGGCTACTATTATTTAGTTTATTCATTATTTATATTGTTTAAATAGTTATGCCAACCAGGCAATTAATTTATTAGTTAAATAGTTACCGTTTTCATATAAAATATTTATACTATTTTTATTATTATTGAGTACTGCTGTGTGCCGTTTTAGGCAACTCATTATTATTCATTGTATTTATTTATTTATTTATATTATTGGGCCAACCAGGCCATATTATTGTATTGTTACCAATTTATTATTACACTCCCTTAATATTTATATTGTTTTGTTTCTTTTTATTTAACCGGCGAACAAGCCAAGCCCTCTATTATTACTAGGCACTTGCCGCGCCATCATTTTGGTAACCAAACTACCCGAGGCCCGTGTGCTTATCAAAATCTTGAGGCCCCTTATCGTTGTACGTTTTTGAGCATTTGACCTTTAGGGGCCCCATATTATGGTACGATGGTCCGGAGCCTGCGTGCAATACACACTCTGCACAGTCTGTTTTTGCGGCATTGACGATAGGTGTTCTACTGTGTTTTAAAAATTTCAAAATATAACTCATACTAATAATTATTCAGTAATTCGTTGGCACTAAACAACATAGTAGAAATTAAAGATAACGTAAGTGAAACTAGCTTATTACAGAACATGTATCTATTAAATAATGATACTTATTATCCATATCCTATTTAAGGAAGATTTTATTAATAAATGTCAATTATTCCTCCGTCGCTAAGGTTGTAAGACATATTATACTAACTGTCATCCTGAACTACCAGCCATTCAATACGTGTGAACTCCAACTTAGACTTGATGACATAAGTTAATGTTTCAAGCATTTGATCTAACTCCGCAAGACTATTGAAGTAATTGAGTTATTGAGACTAATCTAGCTATAGCCTATCTAGCGATAGTAAAATAATATGTTGTTAAGATAGTTTAGTGACATTTTCGTAAATAAAAACCGTTATGTAATTTAAAAATTTGATCACTCAGGTTTATTTTATTGTTTTATCTTTATAATTATTGCCTTCTTATTAAATTGTTTTTTTTTTCGTCACTGCAGAATTGTTGTAACAATGAAAAAATATCTTAACCTTAATTTATATTTTAATACTGTAAGCGGTAAATAATTAACATACATAAGACTTTCATGTAATTTTTGCATGGATTTCAACTCTGATATTTTAATAGACTACGGCCTTGTTGGTCTGAATCGTAGTTTTTTCAATACTAAGCCATTTATAACAATGCGAATAAAATTAGAGTAGTTGACAATAGAGACCTTGAAAAATTAAAATTACAACCGATTCTTACCGCATAAGAAAAGTTACTATTATTGATTGATAATTTTTCTGTTGTATTATATAAATTCTAAGAATGTTTTTTTTAACTTAACATACATTTTTTAATTTTGAAAACAGTACCCGTTAGAAGATTTAAAGGGATACTGATTTGTTTAGTCTTAAGGTGCATTTATTTTTTAAATAACAACAGTATTCGTAAAAGAACATATGATATGATATGGTTGAAACGTGGAAGGTAGACACTGTTTTACACACGAAAACTGAAATTCACCGTGTAAACAATATTTACAAATCGCAAATTCTTGGTTTTATGTGATATTAAGTTTGTTTATTTGTTTTTGTTTTCGCCACCACGGTTAACATGTTTGCGTTTACAACAAACAATGGTGCGATGATCTCGAAACTAATTTTGTTCTGGTTATAATTCTTAGACGTTATGGTATAATTATTGATTAACTCTACAACAATAGTCACTTATAGATCACCGGCCAGTCGTGTCAACGCGTGAATTGCATATTATTGGAGTTTTATTGCATTGATATACCCGCAGTGTATGTAGTTTCGTAAACACCTAAATCTGAATACAGGGTCATTCAACAGTCTCTAGTTTTTTTTTTTTTTTTTTTTTTTTTTGTAAAAACGCAACAGTCAATAAAATTCTTAAAGAAAACTGAATGGTACTTTTACCAAAGTAAGACAATACTTGAAAACAATTATAGTTGAAATTAACTTATTAAAATATTGTTTCCACAAAAGATTTTAAAGTTGCATTAGAAAAACGTCTGTTCTAGCCTAATTGGCTTCCCAAGTAAAATATGATTTACGCAACATCAATAAGTGGCATCAGCTAGGTTTAGATATTTTACTTTAAAAAATATAAGAAATTGTTTTACCTGTCTTTGGTAAATTATATATGCAATACAGAAGAACTGTGTCGATATTTGATGATTTCTAAAATGTTTATAATAGCTCTCCAACTAGTGCTATGAAATCTTTTTTTGAATAAAATTTCTCAATCACGCTTTTAATCACGACCACAACCTATATCACAATTACAATCTCCAATTATCATAGGTGCAAATAGTGTTTAAAATTTGAGGAGGCTAAACTTCAGGTCTATATTGGTTCCTTTTACGTTATAATAAAACATGTAGTGAATTCATTAGTTTTTGGGGAACTGTAGGCTAAGTCCCCTAGCCCTCCTATTTACGTCTATGCCTACAAGAGTAGCTACACCATTAACAGTAGCTCCACAAGTATCTGAACAATATTCTACTACTATTAAATTACCATCGGCTGATCCTACCAAATATATAACTGATACATAATATCCTGTGCTTAAACGAACTGTACTATGTGATCGTGTACGTATTTTCCAACGTTTAAAAGCCAGAATGCTAATTTTATGTTACCCATATATAATGAGGCAGATATGAGGTAATAAAAATGTTGATTATTTTTATTTATATGTAAAATTTATCATTTTAGCTAAATTTTAGATTTTGGTAAGATTTATGAATTTCAAAATAAGCACGATACTAAATAACAGTTCAGGTCTCTGTTTTCAGTGTTTACTTTGCAATATAAGATGTTATATACATAATTATTGGTTTTTATAGTAGCTAAATAATTTTCAAGGCACTCGAAAGTATGATTACTGCCCTTGGTGAGAAGGCCAAAATAAGGGCTATTGATGTCATAGACTTGAACGGTAGTACTCTCTCATAGTCTTAGTAATAGTGGTGTGTTTGAGTCTCTCACCGGATAACTTTTCTTTAATCAACCGTAATCCACTGTACTTGGAATCAATGAAATTTTAGCAAGACCCGTTGCCGTCAAAAGATAAGTAAACGATACAATTTACGAGTTTATTTTTCATATAATATAATTACCTAAATTATTTATTATTATCATCTTTTAGTCATATTATTATTCATTATTGTGTATATGTGTTATTTTATTTATTCAGGTTATTATAGAACTTATAATATACGCAGTGGCGTATTTTTGAGGGGGTGTTCCACAAAAGTACAGAGAAAGAGAACATTAATTTATATTATGTGGTTATTTTGTAAGATATTTATTAATATTGTCTTTTAATAGAATAATATAATTATTAATTCATACCTTAAATGTATTTTTTATATTATAAAATCAATTATTTTTAAAAAAATTTTAAACTCCTCCCATTAAATTTGAAAATTAATGATCGTATGCTACTAACGTAGTCAAATGAAATTTTTTTTTTTTTTACTTATTATTATTTATAAATAAGCTATAAATTTGATACACATTTATTTTGTTCAGTGGCGGATTTAAAATTTCAAATGAAGTCGGCAAATCCAAAAGAGGGGCTTCGTAATAAATGTATCAGTAACATTCTTAGCTCTGTCTTATAAAGCTGCTCACTACATTCTCGTTTCTACGATAAGAAAATGGAAAAAAGTACATTAGAAAGAACGTGATGCAGCGAAATTGATAATAAATCATTGTTCATATACTCGTATAGTGTTCATATACTCGGAAATTATATAGAATTCTACAATCCCTGTTAATAGTGTTTCTAACTATATCTATATTCGATCTTTTATACTTTGTTTATCAATAAAATGTTCTTTTTGAAGTATTCGGAGTATTCCTGAGTATTTGCTGTGTATTTAAAATATTTTGTTATAAATAAAAATGATAATTGTAAATGATATTACAGTTTGTGTTATTTATAATATTCATCCAGTTCACGAAACAGAACTTATTTTTTTACACATCGCGTAATTACACAATGTGGATAACTTTTCACGAAATGGACACGGATTTTTAGTAGTACGGAACATGTTCCGTAATCTGTACATACAAATGACGAAACAAATAATACGTGTATGATTTTTATTAATAGAAACGACTTGTCGTATTAACCTGTTATAATAATTATAATAATTATGGCATTTTAGGAAACTTTAGGTAAATTTATGTTGTAAATTATCATTAAAAAAAAAAAAAATGAAAAATAATAATAATTATGACTTAAACTATAATAAACGTTTAGGTAAATATGTATTGTAAATTATTAATAAAAAAAATTATATTATTATAAAGTAGTATTATAAAGTTTGTTTGAACAAGGGGTAGTATTATGGCAACGGCTGGCTATTACATTTGAGATTTGATTTAAAGCAGGCACATTTTTTCGTTTCACAATTGCCCCTGCAATTACAACTATGAAAAACTTGCCCTCTTGTTGTTAAAGCCACTATTCCCCTTAGACTTAAATCTTTTGCTTTATTGACTTCTGTTATGTTAATAAAATTAGATGTAGCTGGTTGAAGAATTGAAGAATTGAACCATCCCTTAATTAATTCGTGTTTGGTTCCAAGACGATTTAGCTCATTTTTTTGTTCTGTGACTATGGCAATTATATTCACCGAGTATGATGAACCTCTATCCATCTTAGGAACTGGAACTACAACACAATCTTCGACTTTAAATTGAGTAACCTTAAGGTTACTTATCTATAAATAATGGAACTCATATTATTATATAATAATTTTAAGTAAAATATTTAATATGTTTTTACCTTTAACATTTTTTCCACAGCCTTTTGTAAGCCTTTTAATCCTTGTTGTCTTGATCCACTGATGTTTTCATTATTTTTGCATAAGTTACAAACAATAAAACTAGCAGAATTGATTTCCACCGTTATTTCATTGCCACAAAGACTACAACGTGAAGCGATAATTTTAATCGTAGAATGTGGATCATCTGAGTCTTTGCTATACATCAGTAAATCCTCTTCAGTTGATATTTTTTGCAACATTTCTGATGGTAATTTTGGAGTTGTTAAATCTAATTTCGGATCACAACCAAATAAAGCTTTATATGGAGATCTACCAATTACGCGATGATGGGAACAGTTTTTTTGAAATTGGACGAATTCTAAACCAATGGACCATTTTTTTGAATTGTTATCGACCATTTATGCTCTCAACATATTTTCTTGGTTACTTCGTTCTATACTATCTTGGCTTTGAGGATGTCTGGGTCGACCATGCACTATAACATAATCAGGCCACAGAGTTTTGAGCTCTGTAATTATAATGATGACCATTTCTCGATCGTTATCACTTGCAAGATTTTTGGAGCCCCAAAAGTGAGGAATAATGAAAGTAAATTTCTTGCTACTTCAATTGCTCTTTTTGATTCCAGAGGTCCTAAAGACAAAAACTTTGTACTGTGGTCTTGATAATTTAATATTCATCTAAATTTACCATCAGGATTTGATTGAAAATCCACTAAATCGATTTGTACCCTTTCATTAAAGTCTTCACTTATTATGGGTTTAATGACTAATTTACGGTTTACTGGTTTTTTACTGTTGCATGATAAACAGGTTGACAGGAAAGCTTCTATTGCTGGTCTTGGAATCACGTATTTATTCATTAAAGCCATGCGAAGCTTCACATTTCCTCCGTGTCTTGTTCGTGTATGAAAATCTTTTAATTTATCATACATTTCTTCATATGGTACATAATATCTTAACAAAAACAAATAAAAAAAAAGCGGATAAGTGGATGTCGCTCTGATATACAGTAGGTTACAATGAGTCACTGTAATGGATGGCGTTAAATTCAATTGTATATCATTGTAAACAAAAAAAACGATTCTGAGCGAAAACGGTCTGTCAGCCTATGATATAACTTAGTATATTTGATGATATTATTGTGATTAAAATAATATATTTATTATTAGCCACTAATACTACGTAGTAGGTTAAATTAATTATGGCCAAAAAACATACATTTTAAAATTCATCATTACGTGAATAAAATATAATAGTATATAACAAGACCGTATCCAGAAATGTTTTTCGGGAGGGATCCAAAACACGTATATTGTAATTTCATTGAATTTAAATTTAAATTTTTTGATATTTGGTTAAAAATAAGACAAAAAAAGATTTAATCTTCTTTTATTAAAATTAATATCATATTTTCATATGATATTATGATATAAAACTAAAAGCCGTTAATGATTAATTGGAGCTTAAGTCAGTTTTGACTTAAAATATTTATGTTAGTATTAAAAATAAATAATTATTTTAAACATTCGTAAAATATTGAAAACATTTCGGGGGGGGGGGGGGGTCAAGACACCCTGGACCCTCCCAGATACGGCCTTGGTATATTATTATTATTTTATCGACATTATAATTTAAAAAAAACTAATAATAATCAAAGAACTGGGATATGTACTTACTTTATTTCATGATTTTCTTGATTTTTTGTCTTGCAGATTAAGTAATGCTTTTCAGTTACGGAGAGGGCATCAGACTTCTTTAAAATATAGTATTCTCTTCTTGTTTTTTTATTTCTAAATGTTTATAATTAATTTAAATTATAGTTATCATTTTATAAGTGGAAAAATATTATTATTTTTACTTTTCACTAACCTGTTAGTTTTAGCGTTGATTACGTCTTCAATTATTATTTCAACTTCATCCATTGAATGGAGTTTTTACCGGGTTTATCGGTGTAAAAAATGTCTAGCTTTTTAAAAAATTCAACTTTCTCATCGAACATTTTAACTGTTATTTAATAATCTTTTAGTATTATAATAAATTCTCATTTATACGTCTCACAAGTATTTGAACGAGATTTTACACTTCAATAAAATGTTATACAATTTACCGATACCGATTACAAATAAGAAATTACTATCGGCTAATATCCATGCACAATACATCGATAAGATATCACAGGTACCACTAGGTTATTACAACTCGTTTCTATTAATAAAAATCATACACGTATTATTTGTTTCGTCATTTGTATGTACAGATTACGGAACAAGTTCCATACTTCAAAAAATCCGTGTCCATTTCGTGAAAAGTTATTCACATTGTGTAATTACGCGATGTGTAAAAAAAGAAGTTCCGTTTCGTGATCTGGATGAAATTTCTATCCATTTCACGAAACGGGTCAGAACGCGAAATGGATGCGACATATATATATATATATTTTTTTTGTGGTAAAATTTAAAAAAAATTAACTATTATTTTTTTGGGCCTTAGTAAACAATTTAGGAAGGGGCTCCGACGGCATTTGCCGTTTAAACGACCGTTAAATCCCCTACTGATTTTGTTGTATGATTATTAATTAATATAATATTTTATAATCAATAATGAAATTGCATTTTTCAGTATACAACATGGTTAATATTATTATATTGTATTGTTTAATATTTATATATACTAATAAAATGCATAAGAAGATGTAAATGTTTTTATTTAAGTAATAAAATCATAAAATCAATAGGCACAATTTGGAAAGCCAAAATTAAAATTTTAGAAGATTAAATTGTATCTAGCCTCCAAGACAATTCTATGCATTTTTTAAATTTAACGGGGACATTGTTATTGGCCAGGGGCTAAGCCCCATCCCCCAAATTGTGCATTTATGCCTGACATCAAGGCCAGGTTAAATGGGGTTAGGTTAAACGGGTTAAACGGACAAGGCATCCATTAACTTTTTTAAAACCTGGCACCTATGTACGTAGTACTTATCCACAACCATAATAAGCTTGTAGACGGCGATGGAGCCGTTATTTGTTTGCTTGGGATTGAAGAGACCGCTGAAGATACGCGAATAATTGTCGAAAGATTTGAATAGGAACAAAATAATTAATTAATTTAAAGTATATTGGGCACTTATTCAATAAATATACACATAAAATGTATTGCCCAATGATATACGCATATTTTGATTTCACTTATCGTGTGACTTTCTTCTAATCAAGTAGGTATCATGTTGTGTTCCGATTCATTCCATCATAAACATAGCTCTATTGTAAAAAAAATGCAAGAACATCCACATCGGTACATGTATATTTCTGAGCACGCAACACAAACGAGTTAAATGAACCGTTTCCCTAACAACGATTTGATTAACAACAACGAGTGTAACACATCCATGTGTGACGTTTCAAAAAAATGTTTGGCTAGACCACTGCGATACGACACATCCATGTCGAAGTATAATTTGATATAAATTCGTCCAAACCATAAAATGTTTTACGAGCAAAAGTTGTCGGCAGGCAGAAAATATATTATAAGAATATCGATATAGAAACGATGAATGTTCTAAAAAATATTAAATAATGAGTAAGAAGTGGTACTAACATTTGACACGGATACAACAAAAGACCAAAAACGATTAAATGCGATTATGACCATGGTGGTTACGTGCTGGATGACCGGATACCGTGCCAATGACCAGGAAGTAATAACAAAGAATAAGTTATTAACTAATGCCATGAAAAAAAATCAATTGATTATATCGTTATTGATTTATGATAGTTATCTCGGATTTACAAAGAAAAAAGAAAGTTGATCAACAAAATACCAAAATAGGTAGATCCGTTGTCAATTTAAAAGTTAACTTCTACCTGATCTCCGAACTCAAAAACATTTAAAACGTCTAACACTGGAGCACAATTAACGAAATAATATTATTTCTTAAATACAAATTTATAAGTACCTACCTAATTAGATAACGACCATCAGTAGCATCATACATGTGCGTTTGATATCCCATTTTGTAATGAGGTAGGTAAGTTCACATGAAAAGTTTGTTCTTGTGTACACGAATCGTATAAAGTCGTGTTCACCATCTATTCGGAACTCAGCAGGTACGTAAAAGTTACATTATATTCTCGACGGTATTATTTTTGACTGTATGATCATTATAATTAGAGCCCGGAATTGTATACATTTGCATAGTTTTAAGTATAAATTATATAATATAGTGCATAAATAGAAAAAAATATAACGAAGTTATTAATATTATTATTTATTACTTAGCGCATGTCCATCGTAAATTCCGTGAATTGTGCTGTTATAAAATTTCATTTTTGTGTTATAATAAGATAAGATAAAGTTTGCTAAAAGTACCAATACGATAGTAACTCTAGGTAATTTTAAAAATATTATAAAAATCCGTTGTTTGTTTAAATTGATTTTCGTTTGTGACTTTTTGTTTAGATGAGTGAATGTTCAAAATAAAATTTAATTTCAATACAACAGTTCAATACAGTACCATACAGTTCATTAAAATATATAAAATATAGTTGATATATTTTAAAGTATATTTTTTGTTGAATATTAATTATTTAATGAATTGTATACATTTTAAAATTAAATAAATTTAATAAATAATAAAAATACATTTTTGTTGGCATATTTTCGCATATTTTTGCATATTTTGAGTGCATATTTGAATGATAACCATAGCATAAATGCATGCATATTTCGTACGTTTTTAGTGCATAAAATTCCAACCCTAATTATAATTAAATGTACCCAGTCATGTTCTTTTCAAATGCCGTTTGACCATCTTAATAAGGTATTTTCGAGTAATGCGGTTCGAAATCGTTTTTTAATCGTTCTTTATTCCACAGTATTGATTGTTCTAATTCCTCCTTAAATTTGATTATTTTTTTCTACTTTGGTAGTATCTTGAATCAATTAATTTGTATTTTTGTACAAGTGATTAAAAGTTGTCTCTCGATAAATTACACCTTATTTCTTAGTCCATTAGTATTTACACTTTAGTACCTACTCAATATTAATCACTCTTTTTATAGTTTATTTTCTTGTCTTAAATTTTTTATAAATAAATACAGTGTTTTCGCTTAATGTGAACCAAACCCATTCGCCCACATTAAGCGATTGGCCATGTAAATCGAAATTAGTTCTAAAACACTTGAACTTAGTTCAAATTAATTCTTTAGATAAATAAAAATATAAAATGATAATGTACAGGCAGTCGAACACGTTCACGACGACGTTGAAATTCATGGTTAAATTAAAATCATTGTCCAGAAAGCTACACGTGTGCCGTTTATCACTTTATATTTTTATTTTTTTGTATTGTTCTTAATAATACTTCTGTACATTCAATTATATCCACAAAAAAATTAATGATTTTTATTATTTTTGATTAATACGATATCATAGACAGAGACAGATGTAGAGGGTAGGCAAAGACGTATCAGAGTTTTGATGTTCCAGGTAAAGTTTTATTGCAACCCCTATCCACGTTTTATACGAGTTTTCAAGAAAGATAATATTTATTAACTATGGATTTTACGACTGCAACTTGTTTGCGCACATCTACAATTTTTACTTGAAATAACGTAACTCGTTTGCGCACATGATAAAGTTAAATCAACAATTAGTTTGCGCACAATCTAATATTTTTATTTTATATTTACCCGAAACGGAACTTTCCGTTGGGACTTCGCTTGGTTATAAGTTATAACTAGGGCTCGGAAGTTATTACATTTGCATGTTTTTTTTGCACCATTGGATTTATTGCTAAGTGAGCTAGAAATAATTCATTCCAAGATACTACGAAAAGTATGTCAAATTTTATAGTGCATATTTTTGCATATTTAGAGATTTTTAAATTTTAGAGCATATTTCTTGATTTTACAATTTTTTAGAGCATATTTTATAATTTTTGAAGATTCAGTACGAAAACTCGAAAAATAAAAAATAAAATAGATTCATATTGAAAGAACTTTCTTGATATTCTTGTATCGTATTTTTCAAATTTTTATTTGATATTAAAATCAATGTTTTCCCCTATCGGTTAAATAATATATATATATATATATATATATATATATATATATTTATAAATTATAACTACAGCTGTTTTATCTAAAATAAAATATTACACAACTATCAAATAGGAACTGTTGCTATCGAAATACGATGTTTTTATATAAATACTTTTCTAGAAAAATAACTCAATGATTATTGAACATTCTTCCAGGGAATTTTTTTTTATTCAAGAAACATTTTTAATGCTAATTTATTATTATTATTTTTTTAAATTATGATTAAAAATTAAAAATCAGAATTATTTTTATTACTTTGCTTTTTCTATATTAAATTATTTTATAAAATATTTTTGCAAAAGAAAATTTTGTGTACAAAAATAAAATATAAGTGCATTAAGTTCCGAGACCTAGTTATAAATATCTTTCAATATATCAGGCGATTATCACAGTGCAAATTTAGATTAACGTGACAATTTTCAGTGAGCGGAACGTATTGTATGAAGAATTACTAGGCAATCGCTTTTATGGTAAAAAAAATTAACTTTAAAACTTTAAAAACGTGAAAAAATAAATAAATAATAAATAATTTTTAACCACTCCTATGAACAAATATTTTCATAGATAGTCCTAAATTTGCAAAGTGGGAACCAAAATATACTTACGTACCACATTAGATAATACATTTCTTAAAGTAGCTTAAAGCTGTCATACCTAGTAGATATTATGTGTCTTATATTTATTTATTTTAAGGTACTTTTGTGCGCAAATAATTTCTTAAATTTAAGATTCAGTAACCAAACGAGTGGTACTTTTGTGCATAAACTAGTTGTCTTTTTGGTATTTGTTCGCAAACCAGGACCGCCCGGATTTTACATGGTCAACTTTTGATAATATTATCATGAAAATAAAAATCGCAACGTGGTCGCTATGCAAAATATTAAGATATTAAAATTTTTTGATTGACGAATGAAAATTAATGATGGATTATGGTTACAAAAAAATGTTGCCGCTCTTTAATTCCAAAAAAATTTGCCATCTGGGCCGATGGTACCCCTTCCTATCTAAATATGTTCCTGAGGGTAGATTAGGTTATGCTTACCCCAGGTGCTGTTGGTAAAAGAGTCCTCTTAAGTTTATGAAAAATAAAAAAAAAGTCATAAATATACCTCGTAGTTCGACCTACATAAAGTCGCTGCATTTTTATTGGTCTCGGGCATCAGATCCGTCACTCATAAGCGTGCGCAGACCTGCATTTCAAGGGATGCCTGCAATATTTTCGGGACCTATCTGAACGAAACGTGTGGGTACTTTTAATAAATGATTAAATAAACATAACTTTAATTTTTTATTTAATATTTTGGGATATATTAGTCCCAATCAGTATGTTTTCCTTGATTTTGTACATTCTTCTCAGATAGCTTCAATTATTTATGATTTGTACTCTTGTAATCAACTGTAGCTGTTAGGTATGTTATAAAAAGAAGTTTCTGCGCGAAATTTTTTAAAATTTGGTTTTAGTTTTTCTATTTCGAAACATTATTTATTTTTTACCAGATATTTTAGAGTAAATTATTTTTAATTTGAACAACATCAGTTAAAATACGGACCCCCCTTATTCTTAGACTAAAATCGTAGGGCCCTATTTCGATGGGCCCGAGCTCACCCGTCCCTTTCTGTGCGCACGCCTATACCAGTACTCCTCATAGGTACGACGAAACCCAATAACTGGTGAATTCTAACGCTATGTTAAAACCCCTCTAAAATCAAGAAAAATATATATTAAAAATCAATGATTTTATGAATTAAGAGAGTGATTTTTTTTTTTTTTTTAAGTTTGAGGTAAAGTATATTATTTGTATTTTTATTCGTACAAGAAAATAGTAGTCTTAGATTTAAATAAATGTATTATATTACTTACTATTATCTTAATTCATTATCAATCACAGACTGCAATGTAATAAAAAATAATAAATAATAATAATAATGGGAAAACATTTTTCAATCCCCCCCAAAAAAAAAGAAAAAAAAGCCCTGGATCCGCCACCGGTTTGAGTGAATAGTCAAAATGAACAAAAACAATATAAAAAATTTTACAATTACTATATTCAAATTTAAAAACAATTATAAATTGAAAAACTTAAACGGGTTACTTAAAAGCTGAAGCGTTTTAAATTAAAATAATTATTTTCTAAATTTATTTTTACCAAGCAAAGTACACCAAATTGTAGAGTTAAATTAATTTATAATTAAATATACATTACGAAAAATGTACGTACTTTTATGAATTGGTGGTGCAGAGGTTAGCCAAACATAAATCAACTCAAGACACAATTTTTTTACAGTTGGTAGAAATTATTTTTTTACTATCTTTGGATTGCTATAATTTACCGTACACTAATGTACATTCCGAAGGGTTAATCATAAATTTAAAATATTTGAAAAGTAAAATGTAAAGAAATTTACTTGTAATGTAAAAAATGTATAAAATAAAAAAATTGGTAGATGGGTACTTATTAAGGTAGTTGCTTCATAGGAAAAAAGTTTACGCTGCCACTGACCATATTACGCGGATGACGATACTAACCAGAATTCAATATAACCATTTAAATAATCGTGAACTAATTACTACTCACTACGTAATCATAGTTGAACAATGGAATAATTCGGTTTTATTCAGATTTAAAATAAAAAAATGCAATTGTCATAATGGGAAAACTAAGTTTGATTGTAAAATTCTTATATTGACAATTATTGATACAATCCTAGTATTTTTAACATATAATACATTAAAAAAAAAAAAAAATCAAAATCTGTGCATGAGATGATTGTGTGCATGTAAGTTTTATAAATAATTTCAATATCACATGTAGACCGACTGCTAAAAAAACTCCACTTTAATCAGTTAGAATTAATATTATTTTAATATTTTAAACATACATAGGGCATAATTCCAAATCTCTTATATACAAAGTCTATACAGTGATCAAAAAGTGAATACTACATGCACACAATAATTGCAACTATCAATGTATAGGTACAATTTAGTTTCTTATTTGTGTTGAGTTTAAATTGATTAAAATATAATTCGTAACACTATTGCAATAAGGTATTTAGAGGTCGCAGAATAGATCACCCCTTGAACTCTAGTTTCTTGGTTATTTCATTCACATACTCCAATATTTTTGCGACGACTTTTGATATTTAATTTCTACATGATTGGATCATCGAATACCATCCCACGAAACGCGGTATAAATCGTTCCACCTCGGTTTTCTTAATACAGTTTTTTCTTTTTGGAAAAATACACGAAAATGAATTTTCGTTAATTCGTATGTCCTTCTTTCGAGAAAAATCTTGAACGCGTTACCGTATATGGTTGTACAATTGAAAATAATAAAATCAAATTGTACTCACTCCACGAGGTCCGTCATTTTAGTTTTTCGTGGCACGAATTATCATTATCTTTTCTCAACATAAACGTTTTATACTCCAATTTGAATTTAACGCGTATTTACTTATCGGTAATCGGTGTGCAACTGTATACGCATATATATATATATATTCAAAGTGAAAATACATGTATCCTGGAATTTCAGTAACAATTTCCAAACAATATTCACACGGCATTGTGTCTCTGCAGTTGTACCGTTCGTCTAAACGTTTCGGCACGAGGGGTTGGGGGTGCGGACGGAGCGGGGGGTAAACGGACGGTACCGATTGAGACGAATCGACCGTGAAGTTTACGCGCAGACGAATTCGCACGACCAGCGGGTCCGTATCGTACTCAGTGCAAGTGCGATCTATCTACGACGTAGCACCACGCGGTCGTAGTGCGCGCAGTCAGGGTTAGTCGGGGTACGATACAATGATGTGCGGTCGTTAGCCGGTCGTGCTCGTACGATTCATTTCACGTACCGGACACGTATACACCAAGCATTTTACGAGGTGATCTTTTTTTTTTTTTTTGTTCTTCCCTCGCGGACGATATTCGAGTACGCGAGAAGTAAGAGGGTTTGAATTCCGGCAACAGCACCAACGGGACGACAACGGTTATCGGGTGACTCGGTCAAGTGTTTGAAGGGCCGAGGACACGTACGGCGTGTAGTGGACGGGACAGGACAACTGGACGTGTAGGATCGCAAGTACAAAACCATCGCAACCGTTCACCGACCGGGTAAGTGTGTCTCGTTCTCTCACGTACGCATAACCAACATAATCCGCATGGCAATTGTGTGGCGAATAACATCGCTGCTTATCTGGCCGCCGATCGTTTACAATTTGAACGCGTACACTTCACGTGCATCACGTACAGCGCACAAGCGTGTTGATGATTTATCTTGGATCAGAACGGTTATAAAAATACAAATGCGTTTCCAGTGTTATTTGAGAGCACGAGTACAAGACAACTCTTGGCACTTGTCGAACTTACTAATCTCGTGTCGATCATACGCCGATGGTTTATCGTGTAACTATTTCACCGATTGTTTTGGTACGCAATCGATCGTTTAACAAGTAATAGTAAATAAGTTACTTAGTAGTTACTTTGCGAACCAATAATCTGATTGTTTTTCGATTGATATTTGAAGGAAATCGAATGTTGACATTCTTGAAAAACCTATACTTATTTATTGATGTATCGTCGTACTCTTAGTTTTCTTCGACATTAACGACATTTAAAAACCAAGCGTTGCTTAGAGTGTTACATATGTGCTGATCTAAAGTTTAGTAATCAAACAATAAATGTGTGCTATTGATCTCTTCAACCTGTGTGACAAAATTGTTTTTACTAAATTTTTTAAGAAGTATATTACCGATTAAAGTGCCAATAGAGTGATAAAGTTATTTTTTTACAATCTTAAACTTTAACTATGGCTCATACACTTAATATACATACGAAACTAAGTTAAATTAATTTATTATTTTACTGTATACCTAATTATAGTTATACAACATAAAATATCAATATTGTATTGTACGCATTAATGTAAAATATTATTTAAAACAATAATATTATAATTTTTCTAATTATTTTATGTTTTTTTTTTTTTTATTTTGTAGTAAAGGAAATTTCAGAATAATGATTATCAAGTAAACTTGGTCTAACTTATTGAGCGCATTTCTTTTAAATATAGGAAATATGAAAAATTATTATGGGAAGCAACAAGAAAAAAGTAGCATAAAACAAAAATATTACTACTAAAGCATTAAGACATTGTAAGTTTACTTATCTACTCCATACTTATTATTATTGTATTTAGTTTAATAATAATTTGATTCAGATCAAAGATTGATTCACAAACTGGTAACTGCAATCACAAAGTACCTATACATATTATACGTGAAATTCGAAGCAGCAAATATTTTTGAAAATGTTTAGTTACTGAATTACATTTTTTAATAGTAATAGTTCATTGATAATAAATCTATTTTTATAAAATGAATAAATAAAAAACAATTTTTGTTTTAAAAATGTTATTTAAATATCGTTTGATTAATCATTAATACTTGAAATTTAAAGAATACTAGACAGTAAATATTTATAATGATTTTTTTATTTTAATTTATGAAAATTTACAATCTGTAGCATATGTATAAAAAGCAAATACGATGTGAGAAATAGTTTTAATGATTGACATATTAATTTAACCATAATTAAACTAATTGCTTATATCTAATTAATTTTTTCATTCATATAGTTGGTATACTTTTGTGATAAAATGTATTCTGTTTAAGTACGAGTATTTACAATAATACATTATAGTCAATATATTTAAAAGTTAATGTTTTTTAATTTTATTTAATGGAAGCATTTTTGAGAACTTTATCTTGAAAAAATATTAGTAAAAATATTTTTTTGCAGAGATTAAAAAAATAAGTCGTTAATAAACTATATTTTTACAAATAATCAATATAGATTTATAATGATCGATGAATCACTCAGTTTATATTTGTTGATATAATTAAAATTTGATGGCATAAATAATCATATTATTTAATTATATGTATTTTAGAATTTTTCATGATGGTTTTGAATAATACTACTAGTGTTGTTACGTATTATATCTTGTATTATTCCTTGAAAACTATATGCTAATCGAAAAAAGTTTTTGAATGAAAATTATGAAGAAAAAACTCGTGGTAATCGAAACCTTGGTTTTGATATTGATAAATGCATTCATTAACAATGGTAACTAAAATTATTTACACTTATTAAAATTAATTAATAATTCACATATTGTAAGATAGTATTAATTTCCGTTCTTGAAGTATTAGGTTAATTTTTTCTTAATACACCAATTTGATATTTCTAAACGATATTAATTTACAAATTGCAATTATATGTTAATAACTTATAATATGTACTTATAATATTTATGTGGTGTGTTGACTCTTAGAGCTAATTTATTGATTTTATCCAGGTTATTTATGAATTAGTTGTCACGAAAACTTAAATTTAATTAATCCATGGTTTGATGTTTTACTATTTAAACAAATCCAATTTCTCTTATTTAATTAGAGCATAGCTTAAATAATTAAATGATAGTGCATATTCAAGTAATTAGCTTTACTGTTTTAATTACGTGTTCAATATACCATGTGTCTTCAATATGCCGCCATTATTATTCAGTTTAGATACTTGTATATTTTAGCATTATTTAATATTACACCACTGTCTATGATACAATGCTGCATAAATATATTATACTTAACATACCTTATTTTATTTTTTTTTCTTGAAACTTTTAATATTTATTATTTTGAGCAATATTACTAAAATCATATTAAAATTATATTTTTCTCTTTATGTATATATATATATATTAAGTAGAAGTTATAAATATTTAAGGTTAAAAAAAGTAATTTACGTATTATTTTACTTATTTTTTACCTAGAATACAATGTAAGAAAAATTATTTAATTTAATAAGTTCTGTTAGTAACAATAGTTATTTCATTACAGTTTCTGGCGTATTTTTTGGTTCTAATGATATATCTTATTGGAGATGCAAAATTAAACAATCATTTCACTGTCCTAATCCTGATGTGACATTTTACTTATACACAAGGTTTTTCTAACGGTTTTTAACCAAACTATTGATTTATTGTAAATTAGTTAATATGGTAATCAAAATATTATGTTGTATACAATTTAGCGATTATAGGAGAAGAATGAAAATTGATATGAGAAATAAGAGGTCGTTGTACAATAGTAGTTGGGACCCAAATAAAAAAAACGTTATCATAATTCATGGATTCAATGGAGCCGAAAATAATAAAGTTATGGTTCTACTTAGAAACGGTAATATTTTTTATATTTTATTTGTAATATGGTAATTGATAATCAAACAATTTTCGGAACTATGTTTTTTTATTATTTATTTATTTTGCCTTGGTCATAAACATTACAGCAAGGAACTATGTTTTTAGAATATTTTTAGAAATGTATGCTTTTTTCAAATGGTACATGTATTATAATATAATTATTTATATATTATATAGTTTTTTGTTAACTGTTTGTATTTAATATCTAATATGTTTTAATAACTTTTACATTTATTCCTTTATCACATTTATTTTATTGTGCTATTAATTACAGATTTTTTAAAATACTCTTTTTTTACCATTATTTACGGTTTTTTTTAAATATATTATATACGTTGTATGCGAACGTTTAATATTTAATTATTACATCACTGTCTAAGTATTAAGTACAAGTACCTTCATATGAATACTTACCTAAATAAATAAATTCAAATGTTCTGTATGTTTAATATACAGCCTACTTGGAACGCGGAGACTTTAACGTGTTCATGGTGGATTGGAGTCCGTTAACAGTCTACCCTTGTTACTTGTCTTCGTTGAGGAACTCACGATTAGTGGGCCAGTGTTCCGCTCAACTCTACGCGTATTTAATTTATTCGGGCATTTCTAAATTTCAACTTCATTGTGTTGGGCATAGCCTGGGCGCTCACATATGTGGAATGATCAGCAATCACTTGACGGAGAAACAGCATAAAATTATCGGTAAGTATAATCTAAAGAATTCGGGATACATATCAGTCACTGTGATATACATAAAATTAAATTAAATAAACTAAATAATCACAATCAAAACCAGAAAAACATTTTTTTCGAACCGTTAAATTGCCAAAAAATAACGAAACATTCTTAAAAAATATGAGTTATGAAGTTGTGGTCTATAAGATTTTAAGTGTTTGTATTAAATAATGATTGTACCTCAATTCTAACTAAAAAATCAGAAGTTTCAAGATTCTTTATTTATTAGAAGAAAAAATTACTATAACGATATTTATAAATTTATCTTTATAAATTATCTAAATATCACACCTCTTTATAAAACGATAAATGTCAACATGTTAAGTCTGAGTATGGAACATAGCTTTTAAGAATTTCTCTAGTCAAATAGACTCGAGTATAATTGTTAGCAGTTAATGATGATCAAGTGTTCATAAATGCTATTGAAACTATAAAACGAGAATATATTAAAATATTAATCATTGAAATTAAGAGAGATATATTTATACTTTATGCATATTATAGCAATGGTACTTCACTACACACTAATTGAAATACACAAAAACCTACACTATTTAAAATTTAGGTTTATTAATAATTGCACCGAAAATGTATAGCGTGATTAATTACTATATCTATCCTATATTCTTATAACTTTAAAGGACCCTGTGTGAATGGACACATATTTTGTTAATAGCGTACTCTTCTTTTTTTTATCTGCCACCTGTGTTCCCAAGGCATGAGAGTGTTTGTGTGTGTGTGTGTGTGTATTTTTTTTTTTTTACGCATAAAAAGGGGGAAGGAGATACTGAAGATTTTATTCTAATTTAAATTTAAGAATATGCTGGAGTGTGGATAGAACAATATTGAGGCAAAGATCAAACATGAAATTTACTGATGCAAAAAAATAATGATTATTGAATCAATATAATTATTAAGATAATAATAATAATATGTGTTGCAGGTTTGGATCCGGCAAAACCACTAATAGACTTATTTTTAATGGAAGAATTCCGATTAACAAAGAATGATGCTGATTTTGTTGAAGTTATTCACACAAACTCTGGAGCTTATGGAGAGAACCCTCAAATAGGACACGTTGACTTTTCTATTAACGGAGGTCGTATGCAACCAAGTTGCATTCACCAACCAAATATCATAAGTAAATTTTAATTTATCAAAATTAATATTAGAGGTTCTGTTGAATGCCTATTTTATTAGTAATAAAAATACTGTACCCAAGATTAACTAAATATTTGCAGTATTCTGGGTACTTTTACCATTTAATTATACTTATAATCATAATGATATACACTTATAATAATGAATTAATGATAAATAACGTCGATTTAAGAGGACGAGAAGAGCTTAATTTTCCATCTATGTCCATCATAATATAATAAATGATTATAATATGATATTATGTACGAGATCGAAATTCTTTTTAGAAAACTTTATGCTTAATTGTTATAATTATATTTATTAAAATATGATTTCAATGTTGTTATTTTATTTTTCATTATTTATTAACTGTTAAATTTTAAAACATTTTTTCTATCTGCGTATTATATCAATGTACTAGATACTTTAAAATAACCTGAAAATTAAATAAGGCAAAAAAAAAAAAAATGGAAAAACATAATATTTTGATATGTATAGTATAATAATTAATAATTTACGTTGTAATTGTTAATTTGATTACTGTTTAGAGCGATCCCGTTGTAGTCACTTCAAGAGTGTATGTTATTTTGCATCATCTCTTTCGAAAAGGGGCAACAAATTTTTGGGTTTGCAATGCACGGAAACCTGTGACATGGTGATTCTTCCGAAGGGGTCAAATCGAATCAGTCTTTTACCAATGGGTATAGAAACACCAGTGTGGTAATAATCTTACATTCAATAATTAATAATAACAATAATAATGATGATAGTGAAAAATTAATATAGTAAAAAAATTAACCATTCAAATAATTATACAATTATCAGGTATTTTACGAGTATAAGTCAGGGCAACACTTATCGATCGTTGATGGCTTCACATACCATAGTAACAATTATTTTATAGACAAATTAAATGTTTATAAATGTTTTGCGGCTGAATGACGTTAAAAAAATATTAAATCACTCATAAGGCTAATAGCTGTTACCGTTACAGGAAAATTGGGCATTTGACGATATCGATAAAATGTTGACGTGAAATTAGAGAATGAGTGCTAAGATTATATGATAGATAAAAAGAATACCAAAGTGATCTTGTTAAAATAATTTATGGCGTGTAATATTTTATTAATGTGATCAAAAATCGTTTCAGTTATCATTTTAAAAACATGTATTAATTTTAATTTGTCAATAAGAGTCGTAATTTTAATATGTCTGTACTTACATTTTTCTAAAAATTTGGTTATACCTTTAAGCTCATTTTTAACATTTTTCATTTGTTTATGGATTAAATTATTAAAATTGGTTAATGTATGTATTTTCTACTATAAATTCCATACCTTAATTTTAAAGTTTTCTTTAAAATTATTGGTTCAACTTGAAATAATTTGCTTTGTATGAAGTATTAAAATAATAACCACTCATACACTGACATAATGTTATTAAAATGTATTTCTTGTTTAATTTCTAAATTCTGACTTGACAAAATATAAGCTTTATACAGGGCCGGCTTTAGCTCTTTCAGCGCTCAGTGCAAGAATTATTTTGGTAATTCTCTACCTTAAATGACTTAAACATAATATGTTTACCAAAATTCTGTCTGTTTAAGTTATATTATAACTTAAACAGACTGAATTTTGGTAAATGGAGGGAATCATTATACATATTATAACCTAAGCCTCGTTCATAATCATAAATGCTCAAAATATTTTTTCAAACGTACATATTTGCCACATATATATAAATCATTCAGAGACCAAACATAATAATACAATAATAGTTTATAATACTGTATTTTTACCTTCAAGAGTGGCCTATCCTTGCATGTCAATAGAATAATAAATAATGATAATTATCAGGACTCAGGACTTACACGCCTTTTTGATTTTGGCATCTGTGCCGTCGTACGCGTCGATCGTATCTAAAGCCGGTCCTGGCTTTATATATAATAATATATAATAATATAATTTATACAACACAAGTGAATTATTAATTAATAATTAAATTATAAAGCAAACCATTAATAGTGTTCATATAGTAATTAAACTATTCAAAGCATGAAAACACCTGACATTAGAGACATTTACATCTTCAATATTTTGAATGGTTTGCTGTAGATCTTCATGTATCCCTAATTTTATTAAATTTCTTTAATTACTTATAGTTTTTCTTCCCAATATCTATCATAATCTGCTTTATATACTCCATTCTTGGTCTTTCTTTTCGGATATAACCTTCAACGTCACCTTTTATGATGGTTTTCGATATATATCCCATCGTTTTATCTCTTCGAACAGTTATAGTATAATTACCAAAGTAATGGTATCACGACATTAGGCCGACAACCAATGGCCGATAGTCCATAGGGCCGACAAAATACAAAAAATACAATTTTTAATATTTTATTATCTGTGCTTATCGAATTCACTGTATAAGAAGTATACTATGTAAACTCTAACATTAAAAAGCTTATTTCATAATTTATTAATTAAAAATTTCGAATAAAATATTTATTAAAAAATGAAGGAAATATTTTTAAATATGTTGTAGAAAATAATAATTGTAATAATTGTTATTTTAGATGGTAATCTGATAACCTTGATTACTTGGCCGTTACGATTTTGCGAGTGTACATAGGATACAAAATGTATAACAGTTATCGAAGTCATTAAATATTATGTTTTTAAAATACAAGTTTTTGTGATATTTTGCTATAGTTGGTTATAAACTGAATTCGATAAGCACAGTTATAAGAACTCAATGAATAATGTAAAATTGTACATTATTATATTTTGTCAGCTCGTGGATTGTCAGCCTAGTGGACTGTCGGCCCATTGGTTGTCGGCCACATGTATTTTCTACCCAGTGATTGTCAGCCCATCGACCCATTCTCCAAAGCACCATATTTTCCTTTATTCAGTTTAGTACTGCTATGTTTATTATTATTTCAATCTTTAGCATTTTACGATAACACCACATTTCGAAAGTCTCTAGTTTTCTTTTATCTATTGACTGATTATCCAAGTCTCATAGCCATTAAGGCAATACTCCAGAAATATATTTTTAAAAACATTCTTCTTACCTCTAAGGCCACACTATAAGTGGTTAGTATGTGTTTTTTTATTTTGATAAACCCTCTTTGCTTGTATTTTTCTATATTCACATCGGACATCTTTCGTTATTTTATGAGTACTTCCTAACTAATTAAAGTTATGCACTAATTCTATGCGTATATTATGTATATTAATATTAAGCTGAATTCGTTTTGTCTTGTTGCATACCATAACTTTTATCTTTTTTTTATTTTATCGCATTTCATATGTATTCATAGTATTTTATTTATTTCCGAACAAAATGCAATGTCATCAAGCAAATATCAGTGCGATAATTGTTTTTTTATCTATTCTAACTCCTTACTAAATTTCTATCCTTAATTATTTTATCACTTCTTCAATACATAAATTAAACAGCATTGGTTATAGGTTACAGCCCTACACCCTAACATCCTTTTTAATTTTTGTATAAATTATGGATACATCCATCGTACCTAACCCCACTGTCATAATACTAAATTTAAATTTTTTTTTACGATATCGAATAATTTGCTCCACTTTACATTAAATTTAACTTAATTATAGTAACACTAATTATAAGTTATTTAAAAATTATAGAATTAGTCATTTGTATTAGGAGCGATGACGAAATATTCACCTAGGTATAGAAATCTTGCGTAGTTAATTTATTTCAACGATTTATACTGTATAATTAGCTTAAATAACCAGTTGCACTGTGCATATTACAAATGATTAATTGTATACTATACACCAGAGGTGGCCAAACTTTTTTCGGCCACGATCTACTAAAAATATATTTCACCTTTGAAGATCGACTTTCTTGGAAAATTTTTTTATAAACAAGAATAAACGATAAAAACTTTACAGGGAAAACTTATCGACAATTTGTTCATAACCACCACGATTAATTTTTGTGCACGTGCCTTAAAAATAATTTCTAACATAATCGAATCTGAAATCGTCCGCAATCGACAGTTTGGCCGTCCCTGCTATACACTATATATATAGTTCATTCAGTACAACGAAAATGTATCATTATTTTTGTATTTATTAAAATATCTGAAAAATAATTATCATACAGAAATGGGTCGAATTTCCTTTTTTCCCACACTTAGTCGTGTTCTCGTTTTTACATATTGTGCATCGACATTAAATTTGTTGTACTCGTATTATGATTCTATTTCCTAGATATACTCGTATTACACATTATCAGAGCCGTACCGAGCCATTTTTTATCCTGAGGCAGAACTGAAGCAATGCGCCCCCTAGGTTGTAGGGTTGTTACACTCGCAACTTTTAATATGTATAATACAATTCGGAAAAATCTGAAAAATTGTAATTAGGTTTCTAACAAAACAAGAAATAACATTTCTTAAAATAAGTTAATTATTTAATATTTTTGCACCCCCCAGTTTCAGGCGCCCAAGGCAAGTGCCTTGCTTGGCTCACCCTAGTTACGGCACTGTACATTATTTATATACATTTCCATGTGATTTTGAGCTGTAACAAAAAAAAAAAAAAATAATAATAATAATAAAAAATAATAGTATATGAGAATTAATAGGTATATTTGCTTGTATATAGCGTATTAACATAATCTGGCATATTTTTAACTAAATATTTTATTTTATATATTTTTTGATCTGAAATATTATATTTTTTAATTTTTAACTTATTGATTTGTTGACGCCCAAATAATGGGCAATAGAGTGCACAATGATTACAACAGAATGTATGAGTATTTTTTTGTAACATACAATAACTAATTGGTTAACATAAATATAATTTTCTTTAAAACTAAATACAATTTTTTAATTAAAAACTCAAGTATAAACGCCGAAGTTTAGACTCATCATCAAAGTTAAAATCAAAGTTTTCAAGACTACTATAGACCCTAAGCAAATGACTTAAAGGTCCATTAAAACTATATAGCTACACGTGGACTAACTTACAAAAAGTAGTTTTGGATCTAGTATAAAATATGGGAACCATCCAACCTATATTTTCAAGGATTTCAAAACAAACAATATTACCATTCAAAATTTGAAAAATAAATTATGTAGCATAAAACTTACGCCTAGATAAAAGTGAATGAATACCTAACTTCAAAGCAAATTCCCTAGCAGAGTAGTTAACTGAAGATTTATAAGATAGGTATGTTAAGAAGCACGACTGTATATTATTCAAACGGTTTGTGTGACCAATCTGAGAAGGATTCCATAAAAATGACCCATACTCCAAATTTGAACGCACTAGTGAATAAAGTAAAGTTTTTAAATATTGGATATCATTGAAGTCCCAAAATTGCCTCCTAATAATCCTACCTACGCATTGCTTTACTATAAATATAATTAGTGTTTTCAGAAAGAGATCAGCAGATAGAACAATACCTTAATCTTTAATAGAAGATCTAAAGACTACCTTAAGCTCTTTATCATAAATTGAATAACTAAGTATAATTGAGCTTTTACGTCTAGTAAAGTATATATTTGAGTACATTTGTCGTCATTGATTTTCAATCGATTTTCAACACACCGGTGAAATAAACGAACAAACTTATACTGTAATTTTTCCATAATCATCTAATTAATTTATTTCCATATACATTTTTAAATAATAAAAATAACAATAGGGACAAATGTCCACCTTGTAGAATACTAAAAGGAACACTATAGAAAGATGATACCTTGTATACATTTTTTACATTTTGAGTCCTATCTGTTGAAAAGAAACCAAACCTTGACATTAGAGGGTTGCTAATACCAAGAGTAATACATTTATTTAATAACAAATCGTGATTTACTGAATTGAAAGCCTTACTAAGGTTAGTATATATTGCGTCTATCTGTCCTCGTTTTTTCATGATACCAAAAATATTTGTGGTGTACACTATATAGTAACGTAATTAATATGACTGGAAATAATAATTTAAGCAAAACTATAATAGAAAAATTTAGTTGTATTTTAAATATATATTATAATATTTGTTATAGGGCGAGAGGTACATTTTACGTCGCTTATGATGATCCAGATAATTTTTGCCGGTATGATGAATAATAAGTTAAATTTTATATTAATGTTAATAATACAATTATTATGTATAATTGTTGGAATTAATTATTTTAGTAACAAATTTTAATTTTACAAATATTTCACAATGTATCCTCGATATTGTAAAATTTATGTAAAATACAGTAATTTATTATTGTTGTTTTTATCATATTTATTGATGTATTGTTATTTGACTATGAACTAAGTATATTATATTGTGTATTTGCAGCCAGGGCGGGCTCGTCAGGGGAAACTTTAAGACTGCGTTTCCCCTTTAAAAAAAAACAGCTACTTGTAAATAATAACTATTAAACTATTAAAAATATGTTACATCGTTTTATTTATTTATTATTATAAACATGCTGCAAAATCTAAAACTTATAAATAGTTACTTCGATGGAAATAATACTTCGGTCATTCAATGACGGTCGCCTTTTCAGTGAAACTGATGCCCGACAGATTCAATTGTGACATGTAATGGTTAATTAATTTTCCATTAAAAGAGCTTTTAGATTCTGAACGGAGTAATGGAATCTATTTGTTTTATAAAGATGTGATTTACAATGATTTTAACACTAGGTTATCCATAAGTTATTCTTTAAAAAAATATAAAAACATTTTTACCGGATTTTAAGAAAATAATTTTATGACCATTTGAAATTTAAATTTTTACGAAATTGCATAAAATAACAATTTATCCTTAAACGATTTTAAATATTTGTTATTATTCAAAAAGTAAAACTCGAAACTTTTACTAGTTATTAAGTTTAGTATTTTCTTTAAGCGTATTTTTTTCAAAATATTATACTGATTTTTAAGCAACTTATATGCTTTTGAAATATTTGATTTTTCCTAATAAAATAATAAGAGCCGTTTTGACTAATTTTTTGTTAATTAAATATAGTTGTATAGGATATTTATATAGAAATTATATTCAAATAGAAAATTTTTGGAAGACTGCTTTCTATTTATAAGATTATTATAATAAAATAATAATATATATAATAATATTTTTTTTATGTATATCTAACTAATCATCTCCGTTCAGAATCGTTATTCATATACAATGATACCTATCATTGCATTCAGATTTAACAAATCCATTGTAATGACCTATCCTATAAACGAGGTGCACTCCACCCATACTATACAGCAGAGCGAGGCCCATCCGGTTCTTTTTTTTGTTCGTTGTTGTATGGAGTGTGTGTTAAATAATTTATGTCTCCCTAGAATATTTACTATGAGCCGCTACTGATAAATAGTACTAAGTGATATTTATAAATTTTATATTAATAAATGATACATTTTTCCTCAGCGTTATTAATATAGATATGTGTGCCTTATCATAAATAATTTGAAATATTTTATGAAATATTGATCTCAAAACGCAAGCTAGTAAAGAGCAAAATGTTGATATATCTGACAAATAAAAATACGTTATATTTTGATATATTTGAAGAATGTTATAGTTTTATCCGTTTGCGCGTCCCATAACGGTAAGCTGTACATGGTAAAAATGTACAAGTATAATAAGCAGTTATTAAATATATTTTTTCTGTTAAGTAATCATCAACCAACTATTGGAGGGCTTATTGTGAATCCAAAAACGATAAGTAAGAACTTATATATTTTAATTCTGGTACTAAAAGTGTAGTAGTGCCCGTTTCCAGTTTAATGAGGTTTTCGTCTAGGTGGGATGAATTAATTATGTATTTGAAACGGGACCAAAGACATTTTCCGTCTTAATGGGGTTTCCAACGGGGCTTACCAAAGTTCCGTCTTAACGAGGTTTTAATCTAGTTACTGTTGACTGTGATTATATTTTATATTTTATAATCTGTTTATGATCAATAATCAATTATCATAATATTTATTTATACTATCCCGGCATGTTTAATGCTTATAATTGTACGATTTTATGCAATATTTATAAAATATTGAAAATATAAATCATGCAAAGATATATATGTATATTATTTAGTAATATAAAATGTCTGTTAAAAGTATTTAAATATAATAAGAATGGCTTTAATAATATTGAATAAACACACACAAACATACAAAAGAAAAACTAGGAAAAAATTTTTCCGTTCTACAATAAATTATTTTTTAATAGTTATTTTTATGTGAGAGGACTATTATTAATTTTGAGACATATAAGTCCCTAAATCATCCCCGATTAAACTCATGGAAAGTTTACAAGTATTTCTGTTGACACATTGAATTCAAAAGGACATTCTTATCAAATTATATAATATAAAATAAACAGTCTTATTGGAATTCAAATCATTCAATCTCACCGAAATGTATGCGATTCAAACTATTTTCAACTATTAGTATAATGTTATTGACATAAATCTATAGTACTGAAAAGCGTATTTATCTAATCATATTGATCACGATCTTTTTGTTCAACTACGTAATAATATGATATTATTAATAATAATAATAATAATAATAAATCACTCAATTGTTTCGCTGTTAAGTGTAATAATAACTAGAGCACACATATTACCAAATATACTTATTGTATAATATTATTACAGATTGTAAATATACTTTTGTTTCATAAAAAAAAAGAAAATAAAACCTGAGCGCACTGGAAAGTATAACAACGTTCCAGTGGACTCTTCAACCAAAATCTAGGCAGCAGCTATAGGTATACGAATCCCACTCAACACACACTCCGGATAGCTTCTAACCGACACGGCACATGTTGGTATATAATTTTACTTTTACAAACGGTTTGACATTCAGGTGCAGCGGACTACGAGCGCACGTTTTAAATTAATTACAAATATAAATTATAAATCCGTATTTGTATCATCTTCTATTGTTTGTTTATATTTTCATTTAATCGAGAGTCGTTTTAACGTGAAATATTTTGAAGTGTTCGTATATTACTTAACCTCGGTCGGTGATATTGGATATATTGTTTAGTGTTTTCGTCGTTTTCGATCCGTCGCAAGAATCTAAATGTCAAAAGGTAATCATTGGTTCACTTAAGTTTTCCCCGATAATGTTTTATTAATATCACATTTCCGCCGTATATATTATTCAATAACTATAATTTTTATTTTGTTTCCTTTATTAATTAGGATAATAATATATTCAAATGGGATGTCAAATGAGGAATGAAACTTTTTCAATTTTTTTCTCGTCTCTTATATTAAATAAATGGCCTCAGAGACAATAACATTAGACCATAATAATACCAAAAATGAAATGCAATTACCGAGGAATAAACATTTTAACGTTTTTCATTGGCCTCACTTATATACCAGGTAAATATTTAGTAAAATATAATATTGATTTACTTAATAATACATATGGAATTTTAGTTTTTACTTGCTTACATAAAACGTAAATGAGCAATCTAGTCTAGTTTGATATAAAATAAAGTTAAAAATAGTTTTCACGAATTTATATGTTACAATTAATGCACTATTAAATAATATTAATATTCTCAATACGTATGCGTATATTTTTTACAATATTTTTTTTTGGTGAGTAAAAATTCAAAAAAAATTAATATATTTTCTAAATAATACGAGTACATTTTCTTACAATGATTATATGTTCTCATGTAAACATTTAAAACTACGTTTAAATAACAATTAAATTACTTTTTATCACAATCAAGTAACTTAATTTTAACCGATAAAAATTATATTGATAAAAAAAGAATTGAATAAATAATTTCAATTAAATAATGAAAAATATAATTTACATAAAAATATAAAGTGAAATAACAATATTTTACTTCAAATAATGTTTATTTCTCACTATATACTGTTTATTATATTTTTTTAACACCAGAAATTAGTTTGATTTTGTCAATTTATAATATTCCTATTACCCTTATATTATTTAGCAGTTTAAATATACTTAGTTTTAATTATTTTCGAGCATAAGACCTTATCTCGGGTAGTTCTAATCAAATTATCTAAGGTTCCACTGAAATGCCAAAATCATGCATATCGATCAAGTTAAATGAATTAAAATAACTTTTTCAAAATTAATTTAATATTGTTATAGTCGTTACTGAATTTGTCTGTGAACGTATTTACTACCTAATAAAAAAAAAATAAATATAAATAAATGTAATATTTATTTGTTGGTATAATATATACTTATTATTTATTGCAATACGTCTAGAAAAATTAAGACATTTCAAATGGCATAATTTATAATATTTTTATGTATGAAAAAATGTATCAACATCAATCATTGTTTTGTTCTCAATGAATATTGATACGACAGTTAATTTTCTCTTTGTTTATCGTTAACAACAATTAACATTTTTTTGTTCCTGACGAAACGATTGTTAGAGGTCTTTGTTGATATATTTTTCACTTGGGAGGATAAAATGGAGTTTAGTACTTGTACCCTCTTCTCTAAGTAGAGAATTATTATATACGCGGACTTCACTCCCAGTAAAGTTGGTCCGGTGGCGAGTAGTGATGAAATACCAGAACGACGGCAAGGGAAAAAGACTACGGTTAACATAATAGTATATTATTTATATTATATTATTATATTATTTCTAGGCCAACTTCCTACCCAAAATGTTATTGTTAAAGGGAAAGATTATTCTTAGACTTTTTAAAATACAATTTTTATCTATTTAATTGTCTTTATCCCTTTACAATTTGTCACCAAATTATGTTCTTTTTATTTTTAAAATTTTTTTCTGTAAATCGAGATCATGCATTTAATATCATTATATACCACCGTCAAGAAAAAACTATTTCAAACAACTGATTTTGTCAAGAATATTTCTTTTTCGATAGTTTTTTATACTATAATATGTTCAAATACATTTTATATGCTTCTTGGGTGATTTTTGATGTATTATTAAATGGTATAGAATTTTTTTTTATTGATTTTATAAATAACCTTTAGCTATTTGATCGATGATGTTAAAAATAAATGTATTAAACTTTTAAGTAAATTATACATATTCATCTATATATATATAATTTATTTATAAACAATTGATAAAATGTAATTTATACACTAATTGTTAATGTTAGATAAAAGAAATTAAAATATAATTAAGAGATATTGTATTAAATTAAAAAACTGTATGAGATTTTTCTCTTATTAGTAATTTAGTTTTTTCAAATTTAAAAATTTAATAATATTCGATATTTTTGTCTTTGTACAAATTGCCCATAACGATTATTTCAAATATTAATAAAAAAATATCAATTATTAAGTTTTTAAGCATTCAAAAGTGATTACATGACACACTTGATTTTAATTTAATTATTAAAAATAGTATATTATATGTAAAAATAAACAATTAATTATAATTAACAGTCGTTAAATGGAAAATATTATGAGTAATAAGTTATTAATTACAATAAAAATGTAGTACAAAAATAATTAAAATCCTATTATTGAAAATGGTGTCATCATTTTATAATTACACTTGGTGAATAAAAAAAAAATATAAATATTTTCCTTCTGAAATGTCTGGAAATTGTGTTACTTAACAGTCAGAATATATTGAATACCTATACATATGTAGTTAACAAAAATCGAACGAATGCATTTAAAAAAATAATATTTTTAGTACATTTGAGAAATATAATTAGTTTCTATTTAACTTATAATCAGTTTTTCATTCTAAATATCTAAATTTTAATTTTAAATTAATGACTTATTGATCATTGGCAATTTACATGAATATAAAATAGTCTAAAAAATATTAAATAAATATGTTTCGTTGTTTAAATGAATTTATCAAAACAACATTTCCGACAACGTGTGTGAAAATATTAATTGTATGAAGCTTATTAAGCCAGTAGTCATGTATTTATCGACAGTAACGTTTATAAAAATGATCGAAGACAAAAAAAAAGTATTAAATTGTAAATTAAAACAATGGGATTTGAATAACATCGATACTACGGACCTGTGAATTGTTTACGTGTTATCGTGAGGTTAGATATGCACTATTGTGTTTTTTAACGTACAACTGTAAGCCGTTGCAAACCAAATCGATATCGTTTAATTGATTGTAACAAGAGTGTAATCGATAAAATGTGCGTGTGTTTAATGTACACGTATATGTTATATACGGTGTTTAAGATCAACCTTAACCCAATACGGCGGCGAACGCCGGACAGACGGTGTAACGAATCCGCATACATGCGCACTGGGACTTCATTTGATTATATCGTACAGCGATTATTCCCGAGCCGTTTTGCATTTACGGTGTGTCGGCAACCACTTCCAGTGTTCGAACCGTATAAAAATTAGTTCCCCGTCGATTATGGTGATAATTATCCACGACATGAGCGTTGGGTATGATTAGGAAAAAACAAACGAAATACAAATAATACGAGCGTAACACGTAACGCGAGCGTACATGGTACACACGTGTGTATCATATATCACTTGCGTTTGCTCGCTAATAACGTGGTTTACCCGGTCGTCGATGGTTGTTTTCACTTTTGCCCACGCGCCGCGCGGTCATTAACTGTTACCATAAACTTGCACGGACGGCTGACGCGGCCGTTTAACGCGGCGAATCGGATAAAGTTTGTTTATGCGCGTGCGAACGGTTGTTATTATTGTCGCGGTGGTGACATTTATCGCGGCACTAAAAAAAACGCGCGGTTCGCTGTTCAATCGATCAACAGTGTACGCGCGAGCGCACCACGTCGAGGGCGTCAAAATTAACCACCGGTTGCGCAACCATCGGCCGCTGTGTTCGATACGACGTGTCCCACCCGTGCGCGCTTACTCGTACCGATAATATTATTTATAACGGAGGTATGCTTATTTTATTGTTGTGTCCGATTTATGATCAAACACGCTTGCATCACATGCGTTTACCTGAGAAACAGATGCAATCCGGTAAAAATCTTACACTCAAAGCGCATTACGCACATTATGAGATAGCCACAGTCAGTCAACCGTGTTACGCTATAATTTCGCCCGTGAAAATTGAGATTATGAAGGTTTTCAATGAACTGTAATAACAATTTACAATTACGAATGTAACACGTTATGGATGAATTTATAGGAGAACTCGACCATATCGAAGAGTCTCTCTAGAGATTCCTTTCTGTGCTTAAGAAACACCAAGAAGAAACAGCAAACAAACGTATGAATCGACCCGATCCGATAGCAAGAATGGCGTATAATAAATCGGAGTTAACTCAATTATTTGTTTTTCAATGTTTGTACAGTTGAACAGCTTGGAATTGTTGTGAATTGATATTTTTTCAAGTTGAGGCACAGAATTTGGATATTGATATCATTTCTTTATTAAGCTCCAAATTCTACTTTTTCAACAATGGGCCTTTTTGGCACAGCATTTTGAGATTGATTTCACTTATTTATTAAAATCAAAATGTTATCTCCCAATCACTTCAATTTGCGCACAGAAAGCCTTTTTTACTTCTCCGAAGTAATTTTTTTGTGGATATATATATATATACATACAAATGTTTTATTCATGTCCGAGTGTATTATCACTATGACGCGTGTCTTGTGTACATTGTATAAAACTAAATTGTTGCGATTTCACATTTTTCCCCCAGCAGCCGTATACAATAATGAGAACCCCCATATTTGATTTATGCAACTTGAAGTAATGGGCGACTGTGATATGTATAACATGTCAAATAGACGTTTATAATGTATTACACCATTCTGCGTACAAAATTTCCTATAACAATAAAATGGGTACTAAAATGTATGAAACTAATAAAAACCCTAAACTATACTAAAAATTAGTATGTTTTTGGAATGTAAAAATAAAATTCTTTATACTTGGAAATTATTAAGTTTTGGTTTGCACTCAATTTATTGTTTAAAAACAACTATTGACAATACTTTTTTTTATTTATTTTATTAACCGACGTACTAAAAAAATTGAAATTAACTATCAAATAGCTTATCATCACAACATAATATACTCGAGTCTAATACCGAAGACTAATTTTTGAAGAAATATTTTACTACGGAGTTTGATGGACGTTATTGATAATAAGTGCTTTAACCGCACGTGAAAAGCGTATATAGCGTGTACCTTTCATTTGTACCCTTCATATTAAGACTCTAAAGAGTAAATTAGTAATAATTGTTGACTATCGTTTAAGTTTCCGCACGTATCGCTTACAGCCTGCAGGTACGTAGTGTAGCTATAACTAAATGCTGTATGTACAAATGACAAACGTAAACATCAAACGACTATTTGATTAAAATAAAAAGAAACCAATATTGTTCCCCTTCTCTGTGCGTGACCGAACCCTAACTGCACGTCCCTGCTGATAAGGTGGCGGTCAAAACATTCTTAAGAACGACGAATAAGAATTATGTGTATAAATAATAAACGACGCGACTAGGTTCTCGGTCAAATGGACACATTTATAAAGACCGGTTTGATTTCACTCTAAAGTCGTGTAAGAAATAAAAATAAAATAAAGTCTGATAATAATAATATATACAAGCCTAAGGGCAGAAACGTTGTTTTCACCTCACACGCGTGCGCTCTTTCCGAATACAGATTCCGCAAACGTTCACTTTTCGTCTTCTCTAATACGACTTATCCTGCTGTTGCACAAAATCGGGTCATATACGAGAAGAGACGTATCGCGCGGCGCGCATATAAAATTGTGTTTTTCTTCATTCCATAGGTTTTTTTCCCTTTTCGAAATAATGTCCATCAATCGATCATTGCCGTTTTTATACACTTGTCGTTTTACGAAGTCGTCGCACGGTATTATGTTTTATAATTAATGCCTTGACCCTCCTTTTATACTAGCAATAACGTGATATTTACGATGGACTATATAGTTTATAATTTTATCTTCTGTCCATCATCCAATACTATACTCATACGGCATCGGTCGGCATCGGTGATGAACCAGTCGAATAGTCCGTTTCAGGATATACGTTCCATCTCTACGGATCAGCAATGATATAGCCACATAAGCATTTTAATACCGTTTATATAGCTTAGTATTTACAATGCGTGTTATTCACTCTGATCGTTATTATCGTATTTAACGACCGATAAACATTCGATCTTCGTTTTAGAAAACCAGAAACTCTGTACAATTTTATTTTATTTCACATGCACGTGCGCGTATACGTACATATAACCGTAAGAAAGATGTTTAGTAAAATATGCCGAAAAAATATTCCGTTTCAGTATCAAGAGTCCAGTACGGCTCGTTCAGTTCAATATTTGTAACATTATTATGATTTCGTGGCTGGACCGAAGTATAATTTCAAGACCGGTTCCGTTATTATTCGACGAAGTCTATGTATCATTATTTGTTGTGCGGTCGATACGCACAATAACTCGAACTCCTTTTGCAAAAACTTCTTCCACTCGAATTGCAGATGATTGTCGAAGGATGTTCTTGTGGTTTTATTTTATATTTTTCTAAATTCCCAGTACTTGGAGTACCTGTATAAATATAACACACTAATCTTAGTTCAAACTAGAAAATTCCTACAGCTCGATTGTTTGTTCCTTTTAGAATCGATTTATTGTGGATACTTTTACCGAGAGTAAGACATATCGTTGACTTTTATTTTTACCAGAAACACATGAGTTTTTGACATCTTATTGCGAGCACTCTGTATGTTTAAGGCGATTTATGCTTCAGCATGTGGTATATAATTATATCGTGGTTTTCAAAAGTTGCGCTCCAGTTATTCATCATACGATTATTGTTCTTTTAATGAGTCATGTGAATACTCTACACTCGGTCAGGTACCTACCATGTTTATAAATAATGATCACTATACCGATGGTTATAATAGCATAATACGAGTTTTCAAAATATGTTTATACCATCTACTCGTATCTGTATAGAAATTTACGTGTACCATTAAATATGTTTATATTTACACATCCTGCAAGTGAACTAGATATATTTATTCCCACCAAATATAGCAATAATTATGTAGTAAAATGTTCGTGGATCATCCTACATTGTAGAACATTTTATAAATAAACACATTATACATATACATATGTAGTAATAATATAATTAACTAGCTGAATTATTCAACTTGATCCGTGAGTCATCAATGCACATTAGCTATAAACAAGAAACTGAAAGATTAGGAAAATATTTCGAATATTAAATAAATATACAATAAGTATTTATGTTATTGATTAGTTCAACCAAAGCACATCAAACGGTTTAATTTATCTTAATTACTTGTGTAGTATATCATGTTAAACTATCTTGTTAGTTTAAACTAAAAATAAAATTATACAAATGTAAAGTTTAATGGATTATAGAAACTGTAAAGTAAAATGGAGTTTATTAGTTTTATCTGTCTTAAAAGAGAAACATTTAAAATAGCTTTCTTTTCCCTCATCTAATAAATTTAAGAAAGCAAATTCAATGAGCTTGGAAAAATTATTTTATACAACTTTGCGAAAAAAAAAGCTAAAAAAATGTTATATTAAAGTGATATATTCATATTTCGATAACAATAGATCTCCAATAAAATGACCAAATTTTTTCTAGTGTTTCGGGTCTCAATTTACCTATGACGTAACTCACTAAAAACGATCGAGTGGTACAAACTTTATCTATAATTTATACAAACAGAATTTAGCTTAACATTAAAAGTAATATAATAAATGATAAAACAAAATCCAAAAGAATACAAAGAATATAGCATATAAGTGAATATGTTTAATTAGTATTGTATACGTAATAAATATTTGAAATAACAACGATATTAATTGCGATGACTCCGGTTTTAAAATAATTCATTTGTTTTACGTTGCTCTGAAATATTAATATAACTAAAAATATACGTTTATTAAAACAAAATAAAATAATATTGTATTTATTTGTTTTCAGTTGCATTGTGTTTACTACAAAATAACGCACTGTTGAGTTTAAATTACTTGAAATGTGTGATGAAAAGAACGGACCAATGTCCAGATATGGATATCAAAATTTTTTTGTACTCCAGGTAAGATGAATTTCACGCTGCATTGAATAATTTTCAAGCTATTGTCTATTTCAAGGAAACGGAATATTATGATACCATGGTGTTTAATGTTAAGGATATCTCGTATTTTAATTAGGTTAAGGGTTTTATTTAAAACGAATTTCATGTACCAAAATAAATGCTTTATTAGATAACTGTTGATTTTGATAAAGAATTAATCAATAAAATCCCTTCAAGTACTAAAAACACTGAAGTTAATAGTTGGTTATGATAATTTTGTAAACATAAATTGTATATTTGTCTTATTTTCATACTTTTTTCTATTAGATTAGTTTTATTCTATCTTTTATAAGAAACAATATATTTCAAACCTTTGGATGAACTGTGTTATTAGTTTTTGTTTTTGTAAAAATAATAATAAAAATAAATTGATAACATAATTGATAATTTAATAAATTGAAACCGTTTCTCTCCCATTTAATATCAGATGTCGCTGGTTAGCTGGAAAGTTTCTCTTTAAATCCTTCTCAAACTCCAACTCTATTATTTTTGACACTTTTTTCTCCTTATTTCTTAATTGGTGCTATGTTCAAAAATCACTTCCTATTCTTTCACTCACTGCTTATTCGTTTTCCTCCCTTCCCGAGTATATTTTCACCTCAAAATTACTCCCTTGCTCTGATCTTTCTTATTCATCTCTTCTATATCAACCCTATGTCAATATACATATAAAACCTTGCTTTCTAGGCCCTTATTCAAATCCGTTAAAATGCCTTCCCTCTTCCACTGTCAATAATTTTTTCTCGATTATATTAATGATAATTTCCCTTTATTCATTTTAGTCTTCACTGATGATTCATTTTCCCCTCTTTCAGCAGGTTATTCGTTTACGAACCCTAATTTATTTATTCGTTATTTCAACAATCATTTGGGGGAATGAAGATAGAAAAATAAGAAGAATTGGGGGATTCTTCTTTTTTTGCCGAATGTTTTGCTATTATTGAAGTTCTTATACTCATCTCTTTCCTACCCCTTAATAGTTTTTTAATTGTCTCTGATTCAATTTCATGTTTGCAGTCGTTAATTAGTTATTCTTTCAGTCTCCATATTTCTCCTCTTATCCTCCGCATAAAGAATATTTTGTTCTCTCTTAACCAAGCTAAGTTTACCATCAAATTTCTTTGGACGCCCAATCATTCGGATACCCGTAGTAATGAAATTGCTGACAGTCTGGCTAAGTCCACTTCTACTATCTCTTTGACTTCTCCTTGTAAGATCCCTTTTTCTGACTTTCTCCCAATCCTGCGTCAACATATTAATTATCTTTGGTCCTCATATTGGAATAATCTTCCTGCTAATTTTGCCTCAAAATATAAAAGTGTTATTCCCAACATATTAAAAAAAACCTGGTTTAATAATCTAAAATTATCCAGATTGTCAATTATACAATATAGCCGTTTATGGGTTGGTCATTATTTACTTCCTTCCCATACCTATAAACTCTCTCTAAACGGTTCTCCTTATTGTACTAAACAACCCGAGGAAGTAATTTGTGATCTCTCCCACATTATTTTTAGTTACCCTTCATTATCCTGTAATCGTTTAGTTCTTTTTAGTTTTTTGAAATATCAAAACATCCAATTAACTCTTCTTTATATTTTTAATTCAAATCTGAAATCATTATATTCCGAATATTATCCTTCATTCTTGAGGCTGGTCTGTCCATTTTATCAGACTCAATTATTGTAAATTAAATGTGCGATATAATATTTTTGTTAAATAATTGTGCATTACGTTGTTATCTCTAATTTCTAATTTGTAAATATTGAAATAAACTGTAAATCTACAAAGTTTCAATAAAAAAAAAAAAAAAAAAAAAATTAAAATAAATTGATCTTACATACCTTTGGTATACATGGTTATGTATTCCCTGCGTATACATTACAAATATGTATAATTTATGAGTCTTACTACAAAGAATTCAACGGTAAACATTTAAAAATCGATAATATAGCGTTTATTTCATTCTTACTTATATCGTATTGTTAAATTTATTATATTGTTGTTATTTTTAATGACGCATTTATTATAATGACGATATATTCAATTACATTATATTGAAATGAACTGCGGAAAATCTGATTCTGTCATTTTTTTCGTATATTGGAATATATGCAATCAATAAACACCACTCAATTGGAGCACATTGTGATCAAAAGTGTAACAAATCAGCCACTTTGATCCAATAAACGAGAGTGATATTGTTAACGTATTATTTTCGCGGGTATATTATTCAAGGTATATCACGCCATTTCTTGAAAATATAACAGGCACTAACTATACCGTTTCCAATTCGGTAGATTTGATATAATATATTATTAAAAATTCAAGACTGCACTTTCCATTTTATTTTTAAAAGTTTACTACTAAATCCTAGATAAATACTTTTGAAGTATTTGCTAAATAAGGAATAACATTTCAAGTTGTTATCTACATTCATATATTTCAAAACGTATTACTTTCGCAGGAAAAATGTGCTTCATTGTTAACTATTCGTCGGAAAACATTAGACCGTTATTACTAACTAGTTGTTATTACTAACAACTAGTGTAATAAAATATTACAAATGAATAACATAATTCAAATAGCAACGTTGGAAAGTTTTGAAAAAATGTTTAAGTTCCAATGTTACTTTTATTGATATGAACCGAAAACATTTTTACAATATAAATGTTATCATTATTAGAAAGTATTGACTGGAAAAATCATTTTCATGTGTACATGTAATTGTCCTCGACTCATAATAAGAATACATGTAACTATATTTATAATACTGATATTGTTTCACTGGTGTAGAACGCTGCAGCTGAATGAGTAACTTATTACTATAATTATACGTCAGATACTTAAATTTCCCTCTTTATGGATTTTATTACAAAGCAAAGTAGATTAATATCATATTTACAATTTTTTAGATGTATATAATTTAAATTAAATAAAATAAACATTTTAAATTGTGTTTATTATAATATTGCTATCCCGGTTTTAATAAGAACTCATATTTATTTCTTACAGCGATGCTAGACGAAAAAAAATAATAGACGTAAGAAACAAAAACTCACTTCGTTATAGCGGTTGGGATCCTAGCAAAAGAAATGTCATTATTATTCACGGTTTCAACGGAACAGAAAGCAAGACCCCGATGACGATCATTAGAAATGGTTAGTGATATAAATACGAACACGATTCTATTGGTATAACTATAGATTTTTTTAATTTTTTTTATTATTATTATTATTATTATTATTATTTTTAACGAAACTTATCCATCGCAATGCACATAGTATGTCTAGTGAAATAATTATAATTGTAAGGTTTTACCACAACGTCCAAACGCCGTAGACAAATCGTGAGCAAACCCGACAATTAAAATATGACTAATTTATATGTTTACGAGTTGTAGTTAATGCATTAATTATTAATTTCTTTTTGATCCATTGTAACCAATGATTTTAAATTTAAAACTGTTGGCATAAACACACAAAAAAAAATTAACGATTATGACTTTACTGATTTCTAACTTTTTATCCTAGAACGTATTGAATTTTGCTAATTTTAAAACATATTATTCATATTTAGTGTACATCAGATATCCTGCGTTAGATATTATATATTTATCAGGCCTGCGTCTTAACTTGAAGTAATTATTTCGTTAAAAACAAAAAAATAAGACGTCTCGGTCTTCTTTATTCGTTTATGTGAATACGAATGTATATATTATAGTTCCGTTTTTCGAAATTAAAACTATAAATAACATATTATTATATACGGGCACTCACTCGTGGTATACCTAGTACATTGAATCGTGACCGACGTAACACGGTTTAAACCACACTGGCCGCTTCCGATTACTGTGTAACTATAACAGCTCGACCACGTTTAACGTGACAAAATGCAAGACTCACTCAAAGTTATTAAACTTGATGAATATCTAACATCATTTATGATATATCCGTAGCGAATAGGGTTGCCATCATCTGCACTGTTTGCTTACACGACTGGTGTAGCGAATAGAGATTTCTAATTTCCATAAAGAGTACAGTGTACGTTTTAAATTCTATTAAAACGGTTTCCACGCGTAAATCTAATTATTGTAGACGATTTCGAGGGGAAATAATAATAATGTGAACTATGTTTATGTTAATGCTTTAATTTTGCGTAGCGTACCTGAAACGAAAAGACTTCAACGTGTTCACGGTGGACTGGGAACAGCTTTCGTTCTTTCCGTGTTATCTGTCGTCGCTGAGCAACACTAGGCTGGTGGCCCAATGCACAGCCCAGTTCTACGCCCATCTCACATATTCCGGGGCTTCGGCACACAACATACACTGTGTCGGCCACAGTCTCGGAGCACACATATGCGGCATGATGAGCAACCATTTGACCCATAGACAGCACAAAATCATAGGTAAGTCAAAATCCTGTTGACGCGCCGGTCACAGTTAATCATTTTTCAACAGCATTGAAAACAGAAAAAAAGAAAAATTTAAACAATAATGGGTATACAACGTCAGAATCTAACAGTAAAGCATTATATTTGTTTCATATATAGACATTTCGATTCATGTGTTACGCATAGTATATAGCTCCTTAAAATTAGGTATTATCAAAATTATATTTTCTAAAGTTTTATTTTTAATGACTAAAAGTTTAAGCACATAAGAAAACTATAACCACCCTAGTAATCAATATTCAGAAGATACAAGGGATCTTGTGGAAACCAAAAGTTGTGGTTTAGGCTCACAATATTACAATTTTATAAATAATTATATTACACCGTAAAAAATGAATTTTTAAATAATGAAAAATAAGTTCATAATTAATTCTGAACAAATTGTTTTTTATGATAAACAGGATACGCAGTATGAATATCGAAAGTATTTGTATTTTCAGATACATTTATCTTCTTCTTCAACTTTTCTCTCCTTCGTATGGTATCTGGCATACTTTCATTATTTTAAATTTTTGCTAAAATAACTTTTGCACTCCATCCGCACTAATGCAGTCTTACTCAATGTGTGTCATTTGTATTTTACTATCACTCCAGCGAAAAAACAAATAGCAACAGTTTTTTACGTATTATTATAATATTTACAATTGATCAATTTCGAGGAGAAAACTAGTCACATTTTGAAATGCCAACAAGATAAAGTTATTTCGGAACCAATAATGTAGGTAATTTTTTTATTTTTATTTTGTGATCTTTATAGTTTTAATACTTACTATCTATACGTTCTAACAATACTTTAATTTTTATTGTTCTTATTCGTCCATGCAGTTATAGAGGGCTGTAATTATAGTACTTACTATATAGGTTGTAAAAAACTAGTTTCTTTATTAGTTGACATTATACAAAATAAAATATGTTATAAAAATGCTTAAAAAAATATTTTCTCCTAAAATGTCATTATATGAGTTTATACACTAAATCTAACATCAATGCCGTAATTTGAGTCTATAAAACATGATTTTGATATGCTACACGTTAGATAGATAAAGATAAACCAACATGAGCTTACATCCTCATAAAAGAAACGATAAAGTTTAATTATAAATTTATAAATTATTTGTATAATTTTTAAACACATTTTATATTATTATTAGATATTTCATGTTTTCATTATTTGAATGACCTAAAAATAAAATACAATTTATTTCTAGTTACCTCAATTTTGATTTGTTGTACTACTATAGTTCCTACCCCTAACCCCCTAACGTTAAGCTTAAAGATTAAGTTATGTATATTGTAAAAACTTAATACAAAATATTGAGCTATAACTATACTATGCATATGATTATACTGTTGAAAGTACGTTTTTTTTATTACTTATACACATAGTCATATTAAATTACTTTTGACGAAGAAATGACACTAAGTATATTAATTTTTATATTTACTTTTGATTGATTTCTTCAAATTGATAAAACCTGTTTTAAACTCATCATCAATGTCTGCACATGTATGTGCATCTTAAATATATTGTTTTTAAAAACAATTAATTTTTTGATTTTCAGTACGTAGAGGGAATTCCCGTTCTTATTTGATTATTACGTAAAATTAAGGCCATATAACTGTTATACTAAGGAAAACCTGTAAAACAACGTAAGCGAATGTTTTAACTGATGATTTCTACATCTCATTTACTACGTGTGCAGTGTAGACTATTAGTTTTCATCTTTGCCATTCCTCTTTTGTAACATCGTAATATTACTATCCCCCCAGGTGATTATAATTCTTAAATTTTTGAATATGCGTCATGGCACAAGGTTAAAGTTTAAACTTGATCTCGAAAATAGTATATGTATGACCCACTATAGAGACATGTGTATGTATGAACTACGAAGATACAACGACATGGATTTCTGGTAAAACCTGTTCTGTTCTGGTAATGGGTCACGTGTGCAGAAGACGTGACCTACTATCTAATATTAAGATTTATATCGCCAATTATTATAATTATTCCGAAAGATATCCATTTTTATTATATTTCCGTTTCTCGTAGACCCATGACTGTGAATTCGGCATTAGGTTTTGAGTGTCATGACATATTTCTAAAAACTTTCCAGTTTTCTGCGAACGGTTATTACCATTATCATTATCATTAGCTCATACATAATAATGTATAGTTGTTTTTTGTTTAGTTTTTTTTTTTTTTTAAGTTTGTCTCACCAGACGCCACATTATGAAGTATGTCATTTATTTATATTTTTATTTTAGAAAACCCGGGTATATGCGATGTTCAAAATCAACTATGTAGGCATATTATGTTCCTTTAGTACCCAGTGGTCAATATTGGTGTAATAATATCAACACAACATATATCGTTTACATTCACTTGCCTACATATTTGATAATTTTATATGAAAGATTTTATTAGAAAATGTATAGATAAATAAAAAAATTAAAATTAATATGTCTAGAACATCAGTAATTCTTCTTGTCAAGTTCGATTTTATAATACCAATAACAATAATATTAATAACATAGTTAAATTAAAAAAATATAAATAAAACTAAAATAAACAAATATAAAAATAAAAAATACAAGCAAATATTTAAATCATAAAATTAATTTACTAATAAATATAATTTGATACATCTAATATAAATTGCATATTTGGCAACATTATATATGTTGTACTACAACTAGTGATATATATGTATGTCATAACCACCTCTATAGCATGACAAAAGGTATTCATCGGTCTGTCGTTCTCTGCATTTGCAAGTTTCGTCTTCTTCACTAAAACCTTATTTTTCCATGTTAGATTTAGTCCATGCCACTCTGGATATTAAACTATTAAAGGTTTTCCACGGAGGCCATGGTAAATTCCATCCCAACAGAAATTGTTGTGTGTAGGCTAAATCGATTCTTCTGGTTGTAGCTCATTTTAACACCTTTGTAACCTTTCTTTTTATACAGGTTCGTGCAGTTCTTTTGCTATGTGTATGAAGTTTCTTTGGGACTAAAGTCTTATACTTGTGATTTCATGTTCGAAAATCGGTTGTCTTTCTTCCTTTATTTGTTTGGTTTTTTTTTTCTATGTCGGTGGTGACGTGTCTTCTAATTTCAGTTGGAGCTATGCCTGCTGTAAAATATAAAGATAAATTGTACGTAGGCGTTAACCTAAGACATCCCGTAACTATTTTCTGCAAGTATCTTTCCACGCTAAGGATACATGTTTGGTATATTTAGACTGGCTCTACACATCAGTGATGAATATAGTGTAGGGAGGACTTGAGGTATCAACTTTGGTCCTTTGTCCCGAACATAATTTAAGGGTTTTTTTTCAAGTTTATTGAAACATTATTAATTAATAAAACTAAGAATAAGTTTAGTTTCTTTTAAGTCTGCATTAAAACTTGATTGTAAATTTAGTTCGGTTAAGGGAGATACAAAATGTATGTAACTAGAATTTAGATCAAGATGTAAATCGAAAAATAGTTGAAGTTTGAATAATATTCAGTTGATCTTAAATATTCTGGATTGGATACTGCAATTATACGTACACAAAAACTATTTTAATCAGTAAAAATTAATTTAACTCACGAAACTCTGATACCTAAGTTGTAAAAATATAACTGTATATTGTTTTTTTTAATGAACGCTGTTGCAAAAGTAATTAAAAAAAAAATGCAGTAAAAATATTTCATATAAACAATATTAGATTAAATTAGTATAGATTTCACCTGAAATACGATTATACTAAATCACTATACCTATACATTTATTATAAGACGATTCTTAATCGATACTTGCGTGCTACTCTCGGGGAGATAACGTGTCAATCAATATTAATTACCAAGGCTCGGAACTTTATGCTCTATAAAAAACTAAAATGTGCGTTAAAAAACATCAAAATATGCGGTATAATATGCAGTAAAAAATTGGAAAATAATTGCTTAAAAACTAATAAACTGACTACTGACTAGTGTGCCAGGGGCCTATTTATGGGGGGCCGAAGGGGCCCGGGCCCCCTCCGAAATGAGAAACACCATTGTTAAAGATTGTTATTTTTAATATGGATATGTTTTAATGCTGGGGTTTCCGAAAATTTGTCGCAACACTGAGAATGTTGCTTATGCGATAATTTAAAATTTTATTTTTATCAAATATGTTTATTCTTTTAAGAAAATATGTGGAGAATTTTGAGTGACCCTAATAAAAAATTTGTTTATTACAATGTAATTTTTATACTTTTAAAAAATAATAAATCATTAAAAAAATTGAGTTTCTTATTTCTCTGATGGTGTAAAGACAATCGAGAAGTCTTATAGTGTTAAAGTAATGTTTTTTGTAATAGTGTGCTTCCTCCTTCCCTTCCACCCAAAAATCAAATATATGATCGGTTCCCTCCGAAATGAAAACCTATATACGCCACTGTAGTGTATACAATAAAGTCGCTTGCATGCAGATGTATGCAATATTATAACGAACAGAAATAATATTGTGTATAAGCTGATAACCTGATGGTTACACATAATTGTTTACGAATTACCTATGGTTATACAATTTGTTTGTGATGTTACAAAACATTAATACAGTGGTAAATTTGTATAAAAATAAATACGGGTCGGCGGTGGTCACTATTACGAGTTCTCGGTACTATAAAGATTATAATATTATTGTTAAGTGCCTTGGGAGCCCGGAGTAATATATATAATAGCCATTAATGAATTCATTTATTTTGTCAAACGTTATAAAACTTAGAATTTTGGTGTTCTGTATCTAATATTTTATTATTAAACTATAAATTATTTTAAAAAATGTTGTTAAATCCATGAAATATGCATATAAATGTTCTTAAACCCAAAATATGTGAATTGGTACAAAAAGTAATAAAATAAGCAAAATTATGCAACAACAATTTTTATGTCTAAAATATACATACTATGAATCAAATTTGTATCGAATCAGAATTTTAATATGCACTTTCTAGACAAATATGCAAATGCCTATAGTTTCGAGCCTTGTTAATTACTAGTACAATTTCACACGTCTCCATAACAGATTTTGCAAATTTTACACAAATTTTAACTTTTCTGGTCTTATAATATTCGTTATGATTAAAATTATTCTTGAATGTGTATAAGATCGATCCGATAGAGCTAGGCATAAATGCTATAATTATTAATAATATCGTAAACATAACTATTTTACGCAAAATATATGTTACCGTAATTTACAGTAATCTATATGTGTATCTACTTAATTGATAAACTTTATAAATGGGAAAACATACAGAGACGGACTGGGGGACTGTAGAAATACGTTAGGCAAATTTTTCATAAAATATTTTTACCAATTCCATTCGTACATATTTTTTCTTAACGCTTGACTTTTCTTTAATTATTATGCGACTGTAATGTGACGATCGCTGCAGTGAATGATAATAATATGATACATCAGTCGATAGATATTTTTTCATAGACCGTATTAGGTACATTTTATACAATATATGGTAAAGTTTTTGGGTTAAATTTGAAAAGTCATTAATTGGTAACCCCCTTTAGGCATAGAAAGGGATTGAGTTAAATTACACGAATAAACTCACCCTAAATTGTATTCCTATGGTACCGAACGCAACGAATCCTGAATAAAAAAATGTTTCCTCTCTTAAGAATAATCCAACACACGTATATAATCTTATCATGTAAAAGTTATATCAAAGAAACACTTATTCTAAACACTAAGATTTGTCATGAATTTCAGGTCTCGATCCAGCCAGACCGTTGGTAGACAGGTACGGTTCGGCAGAGTTTCGATTGACCAAAGACGACGCAACAGTGGTGCAGGTGATCCACACGAACGCAGGTTTCCTGGGCGAAGTACCGCAGGTGGGACACGTGGATTTCTGCGTGAATGGCGGCCGCTTGCAACCAAGCTGCGCGAACGAGCCCAGGAATATCCGTAATAAATATTGCTCGTCGCCCGTCTGGCAAAACGATCCATTAGTGCAATTAAGATGTAGGGTCACCATTTACTATACATATTTAAATAATTATACACACATGTGACACAACTTTTATTGTAATTGTTGTTTTCGTGTTATAATTATGCATCACTATAATACCACATGCATATGTAACACATATACATTCGCCTGCAGCATTAAGGTATCCGTATTGTTATGCTATATATACAATACATATGTATATTATATTTATATAAATATATACGTTAAACGATCCGATATTCGGTCAGCAGTCCCAGTTAACCGTTTGTAACTATATGCTAATGGAGATGTAGGTACACTTCAAATTTCAATTATATGTTAAAATACTAAATTATTTTGATTTTTTTAACTAGTGCAATTCACACCAATATAAATACATATTATGTTGGTAATTCATTGAATCTCATCCGTACACAATTAATTCAGTAAAATGTAAAAAATCACAATAAATATTTAAAACAATGATATGTATTAATATATTTTATTATATTATTTCTGAACGTAAAATATTTGTTAGTTATATATTCCATCGATATTAAAAATATATACAAAAACACAAAACACAATTTTTATAACACTTGTCAAGTATAAGAGTATTTATTTAGAATTTACGGAATTCAGAATTTTCTTCACGTCCCAGAATTTTTACAGTTATTGTGTACTCGTATTTGATAGAAATCGAAAAATCAAAACAATTTAGGACCTAAAGAAATCTGAAGCGTATCTACACTTAAGGTCTAACTGTTAATCTCTGATCGTAACATATATTTATATACATATATAAAAAAGGCTAGCTTAATTTACGCGGAGTGGAAACAATAATGTACGTATTGTGTGCAGCGGTGTTGTAGATGATATGAACTGTATAATCGTTCCGGCTTTTTGGTAAGGTACATTATTAGTATATAGTATCTACATTTGGTATATGTATAAAGCAGGGTAGTGTGTTAATTATTTTTTTCACACGAAACATTCATCTTTTCTCAAATAACTCACGTTTTACAAGCGTATTATTACATCTGATTACGAATACAGTTTTCTGAGAAAAAACAAAAAAATGTACATAGCATAATACTATTGAATTTGTTATGAATAAAACGTGCCTTAGGCCTTAGAATTATTCATAATAGGTAGGATGATTTTCCACGTAAGTTTTTCTTGCAGATATTATACGTCGATCCGGACTTATAGTATTTGACCCGTTACATATTTATACATAGAAATTAAAGAATAATATATTAAAATTCTTTCAATTAAAAAGTCATACTATCTATATTTTACATAATTATATTAAATGAAGTATATGGTGAGATAATTTGTTTTTAAATCTGATTATATTGAATTATAATTGAATGTTTCGTGTTGAAAAAAAACTACTTATAAGTTATAATAATATACTACACCCAGTGGCGTGCCCAAGAATTTCCTATGGGGGGGCATGTTATCTGGTGGTGGAGTGAAAATTAAATCTAGGCAAGGGAATAATAATACAACCTGTTAAATTTTAATAAGAATAAAGAAATAGTTTTCTTGTTACACTCAAGACGCCACTTTTCTGACTTTTTTTTATCATTATCCTAATAATTATAATTTCAACTTAAAAGTACATTTTAATTTGCTACAAATTACTATTTTATTATTTTATTAATTTAATATGAATATATTATACCATCAAATTCTACAAGAGTAGCTAGAGTAGCAAGAGTATAACTACTTATTTAAAGGTACACAATCAAACATTTTATGATTAAATTATTTTATTAATTTTTAATTAAAACGCAAAACAATTGATAAAAAAAAAATATTGAATAACATTAAATTATTCTAGATGAAAACTTCTAACTTTTGCACTCAGTTAAATTAAACCAGGAGTGGGCAACTGGCGGCCCGCCAATTATTTTATTGTTTTACAGAATAACTTTCTGATACGATAAGATTTAATTCTATAAAATAAATTCATTACTTGGGTAAATTACAACTGGTATGGAGATGCTTACACCTGGGCTAACGCACAGTGGGTGGTGGGTTAGTTGATGCGTAAATATTATGGTAATAGAGATTAAGATACTCATGAAATTATTACGTTTTCAAATTTATAGAAGTTCGTTTGATTTTCGAATTTTTTTTTTTATTCTTTACTACAGTCCTTGTTCCGTGAACAACTTTTATCACGTATTATAATCGTATGCACAGCCCACAGTAGGTATACCGATAACAGGTACCTATTGAATATTTCAATGTTATAAGAAATTTCTAAAATCTCTCGTCCCACCTGAATTCGAGTATACATTTTTTATTTTCAATAAAACAATTTGGGTGGTACCTACTAATTTGTGTAAATTAACAAAAATGATTACTATTTTGCGTAAATTTGTATTACTCGTTAACGCAAAAACCTTACACATGTATAAATTATCCTTCTGTATATGTGTAATAAAAATGTGATTTTTATGTGTTTAGTGTTCAATTAAAAAATATAAAAATATTTAAAATTATTTTAATTAATTACAATAAAATTTATGATAAATTATTTAAAAAGCATCTTCTTTAAAGGTTTACCTTTAAAACGGTTACTCATATGTTTCAAGCAGGTATCTACTTAAATTGATTCATTTCAACCATACATTTTTCATAATAAACCCTATTAATATTACCTACTTATTTCTTTTTTTTTTTTTAACTAACTTTTTTCGTGAAAGACGGCGTAAAGAACAATCGAATAATACACTCACAGGACATATACTTTGGTATTATGTAGAACAATTTAAAGAATAAAAAGTGTCACGAAAATTATACGTTTAAGACACATAATATTATAAAAATTATTAAAGATACAACAAGTAAGTACAATCATATAATACTGAAATTATTCGAAAAGGATAAGTCTCTTCCTTTACATTCCATTCTTAACGCGAAGGTTGATTTCAACCCAATAACAGACGTATTTATTATAATTTTCAATGTGATATCAATGCAATATATGCTGGACATTTAAAATCAAATTTAAATAAATCATTTACTTTGAACTATGTAACATATTTTATTTTTAACAGACCATGGTGGTTGATTGCGGTGGGTAAGTATTGCACACTTATGGTACTCATTCGTACATGGACGAAATTTACGGGAACGAATGCCGAAAAAATAACGAGGTTAGGTTATTTGATACTATACCCTTATGTTAAGTCAGTACTTTAGTAGTTATTATTTTCGGTTTAATGTCTGACATTTCGTGGAAGTTTCCCTCCTTCTTGCGTCCACCCCTGACAAACATAATATTATTATAACATTATACACATGTGACACGTGCGTTAACAATATAGGGTCTATTTTTAATGCATAGTACACAATATCTATGCAAAATGTAAATTAAAAATAGGGTTAAATGGTGGCTTTTACTGCATTTTAGTTGTGCTTGCGGAAAAAATATATTTAGTTAAAATGTTAAACGCTTATACTATATATGCATTTTAACATTACAAATCTGTTAACATTGATCGCCCGTCAGCTGGGTATTTTAATAATTATTTTTATTTTGCTCTGTTCTGTCTAGGCCGCGCTCGGTGTAGTCACTTCTTGAGTGCTTGCTTCTACGCGGCTTCCATTTCTGAAAGAGGTAAACGCCACCGAGGCATACCCTGTTCCTCCACCTGTCAACCATTGCCTCCGTTTTATACCAAAGATGTCCGTGTATCCATGGGATTCCACACTCCAGACAAGTAATATAATCTATTTGTACTATGAATAAATGCGGAAATGACTTTATACTGTTGTTTTCCTAGTAAATTATACAATAAAACATTTTAAACTCCTGAATCAGCTATATTCGAGTTATAACGAATAATTATATTTTAGTTTTGTTATGTTTCAGCGCTCGGGGAACGTATTGCATTAAAATGCGAAACAGCAAATCGTGTCCATTCGATTAAACCGTAACACCTCCAACAGGTGTAAAAACATAAACACGCCAAGGTAGACATATTAACATACTGTATAATGTGATATTACATACTGTAATACAGACTTGTAAAGTATTCATGAATACTATTATTTAAATTAATTATTCAGAATACATTTATTGGATACTTTTTATTAATTACAATCATACTTTAATGCTGTACGAGTTATGACATTATTATAACATGTAGGCAATGATGTTTTCATCAATATTGATGATAGGTAGTAATACAATGCCGACAAGTGGCTGAATATGGACATTTTTATTTTGTACAGAAATAGAAATTAAAATTTTTTAAATAAATTGATAACTACCATCATAAATACATAGTTCCTATGCTGTCAATAATTATTTCATATGGTGAATCGTCCTAAGGAAAACTGAATATCTATTACAAAATAAGGCTAAAATTAAAACCAATAAAATTGATTACAATTAATACTTCTCCGCGAAGTTCTTGAGACTTGAAAGTATACGTAGTATACCCGTACATTTTCAAAATTATGTGAGTGTATAGGTACGACATATATGTAATATACCCTATGGTAACACCACTGCGCGTAGGTATGAAATACGAATATTAAGTCAAATAACGTTATTAAATAGAAAAATCTAGTGAGACAATTAAAAAATAATATGTCCCTCTTTATAAAATAATTTTGAAAAAAAAAAGTGTAAGTATTCAAACAAAAAAGGAGTTTTCCCTTTTAAAATGTTATCGACTATACCTATAATTGCACGTAAGTGACGGTTGTTAAATTTGCATTCGAGTATTCTTGTAATAAAATAAATTGGTCCGATATCGATATCGAAATACAGGCTAGTATCAAAAGAAGGAGGGCTAAAGAGCTTGAACTTCCCTTTAGATGTGTTATATATTATTTAAGTATGCAATAGATACTAAATATGTATGTATTTAATTGAAGATTAGTCAAAAGACTAATGAACCAATTAATTTTTCATATTTTATCATTTTAAAAATATTATACCTATTATACATATTTATTTACTAAAATTAAAAATGTTTTTTTTTTATGTGAATACAAATTAGCCCTCCTCCTCCTCCTCATATTGCTAGATCCACCCCTGTTAAAATTCGATATCGTTGTGCATCACTAAAAAATACTATCAACATCGCAATCGTTTCGTTTATAACAATAATCGTGTTTTTGGCGATAGTGCTTCCAGCAAACGGATTGTTAGAATGATGTTTTGCTAAAATATTCACTTACAAATTGTTAAATTGCAAAAAACGGTCTTCATCAAACATCGATAATCGATTGTTTCGAAATAGTTTCTGAAGACTAAACCAAAAAAACACGCTTATCATACAGGTGTTGAATAGAATATATTTTAATAATACCATATGCTGCATAACTCATATAGTTTTCATAGATTTTTCAAGTTTTCATTGTTAAAAATTGAACTACAAAACGCTTAAAGCGTGTACATTAAAACTGTAAATATCTGTCAGCAGTGATATATTTTCGGAGAGGCTTCCGGGTTTCGAGCCCTTTAGAAAAAAAGCTTCAAAACTCATAAATAACTAGATACGAAAGTACGGAGAAAAAACACATTAATTTATTTCATATGGTTGTAAATCATCCTTCATTTGTACTTATAATAATAATAGAATAATATAATTATTAATTCATACTTCATATGTAATTTTAATATTATAAAATCTCATATTTTAAATATATATTATAATAAGTATTGCTATAGAAAATTAATAAAAACTTAGCCCTCAGATATTAAATTTGAATTTTCTCGGAAACTGTTTAGTTACAAATTGTTTGATGTCGGATACGAGTAGTAATTAAAAAGTTATTAAATTTGGTGATAGGCTCGAATTCGATTCGACATAGGCAGGGAACCAACTTCAGGCATACATTTAAAAATTTCACAATAAAATTAAAAAAAAATAAATCAAGAGACAACACGATTCGAATATCATAACAAAATAACAATTATACTCAATTATTGTAAATAAAAAATATTATAAAAAAAAATTAGCATTTAAAATTAAATGTTTAGAGATTTAGAGGAAAAAACCAAAACATGACATAATAAATTTAATTAGATAGTTGAAGAAGTAGTTCCATACAACAAAAAGTATAAAAAGATGTATAAAAAAAATGTATAAAAATGTATAAAAAGCATAAAAATGCATAAAATGTTTAAAAATGTATAAAATGAGAAAAAAGGCCAACTAAGCGTATAGTCTCGGTGGTGAAATAGATTTTTGGTCTATTTTCACCCCCAAGACTATCGGTTGGACTGTCTGTCCATGTCACTGGACCTCTTCATATAGAGAATAGCATTTGCCGAGTTCACTAGCTAGTTGAAAAAAATTATTAACATATAACAAAAAATAAAAATAAATTTTTATTAGGAAAAAAAAGAACACCACAAGTGAAAAATTCCACTAAAGCAAAACAAAGTAAAAAATAAAAATAAAAAAATAAGTGAACAGTACAAGAATTATGAATGTTTGAATAAAAAAAAATATATATATTCTGGATCATGATATCTTCCATTTACTGCCGATTACGCATATGGTCTCTGTGGCGTTACTACCGACTTCGGATTTAATAGCATTTCGGAAACAGTTGGTTCGATCGTTCTCCCGTCCTCACTCAACCTCTCTAGGTACAGAACGGCGTTTAAGTTTTTCCACCGCTGACGTGTTCGATCTCCACGCGCCCAAAACCATGGTCTCTAGACACTTCTACAGTTTGTGACATGTGGACGGTTTTGGGTACGTGGAGAACGATTCTTGGGATGATCTCACGCAAAATGTTGAGAACGTCGGCCAGTCCGCTCTTCTGGCGACTGCATAAATTTTGGGCACTGAACCGCTGGTTTCGATCCCACGGCATCGGACGTCACTCTAGACAGCATCGCAAGACTGTCGCCGATCCGAAACCCAATCCGGTGAGCAACTCCGAGCTCCACGGCCTTCCGGTGGACCAACCGTATTTTGGCTAGGTCGTGGTCTACGGCGATCACCTTTCGACACGTGCACACCAGACGAACAGCCAGGCGACCGACGCCGCAAAATGGGTCGACGACCATGCCGAAAGCGCACCTCCGGACCACGTGCAAAGCTAAAACGTCCGGGCACGCGGACACCGAGAAGTGCAGCTTGTCGGCAACAGGTCGTCGATGGAATAGCCAAGCAGCCGGTTTCGCTACAACATTGGGGGGCACGGGTCCCGGTGTCCTTGGGCGGCAATCGGCGGTTTTGGCGGCTTCAACGCGATGGACCCATCAGAGGGGCCCGACGGCAACGTACTGGGGAAACTGAAGGTGAAAGCGGTCTCTTTCACCGCAGTCCTTCCGGCCGTCACGACCGCGTCCTCCACGGGCCCATCTACGTCATTGGTATGCGTCATATAGTCCCTAACGGTCCTTAGCCAGTGCTTTAATGTTTTAACTTCCTGGGGCGGCGTCAGGTGTTCCATCCCGGTAAACGCTACCATGGTCACCGGCGGTCCGTTCGTCTGAACGCCGACATCCGCGTACTTTTTTTCCCCCAGTATCTTGGTCTTCGAAGCACCGGTATCTTAGTCCCTGGAGTATCGATACTCCATTTGGGAATACCTGTCACGGGTGGTGGCATGCGGTTTTCCGATGGTGGTCAACGCGAATATCACGTCTGGTGACCAGGTCGCTCACTGCCGTCAACGTCGGTGTAGCCTGCAATTCTTCGTCTTCGCACCAGTAATGAATAGAGTGACGGGGGCCTGGTCGACCACCCAGTACCCTCGCGGTCACTTGCTGTTGACTGAAGTGGGCCAGCTACGTTGGAACTGGTTTTGACACCGGAACCACCCACTCCTGCCGACCACTGGGGTTCTGAAGCCACTGAGATGGTAACAATACTTGACTGATAGTAACTCATATTGTGGTTTTCAAGTGATCCTTCACTACATTTTAACCCTACTGCCAGGGGGTTTTTGGTCAAAGTTTTCCTTCCTCTAGGACAGTTGCCACTCGAGGCTGAAGAGCCTGCCTTACTCTTTGTTGAAAACCGTTTTGTTAGCCCTCAGTTCATCGACCTGTCCAACATGGGAGACCCTGTTGGTAGTAAGATACCGTTGGCATAGCTCTCAGAACTTTTGTGGTACGCAAGCCACTCTCCCCCCCACACGTCAAGGTGGGTCCTCGTGGGGGGGTTAGTCAAGACGTCACAATAGACGAGAAGCATACCTAGCCCTACGAACTATTGTTAGTTGAACATTTTAATTTAAAACATTATTGCAACGCGTTATGGTTAATAGCCAATAAAAATTATTGTGCGAATGATGTAATTTTTTTTCAGTGTTTCAACAACCAATCAAAAGCTCAAAGATTATTATTATAAATGCGAAGAAGTAAAATCTTCCGAAAATTAATGTCATGTACCAACAACTAAATCTTCTGATGAGAACCGTATATAAGTGTTTAGGATAATGTTGATACCCAGTAAGTTATGTAAGTATATAAATACAATTTGTTACAAAGTGTCAACATGAAATATGTAATTACCTCAGTGTGACGCCCATGTTCTGTTCAGTTTGATCCCTAAATATTTTGGAGCATTGTCACTCATTAGTCTGGTTCCCTGAACTATCAAATTAAGTTTTCTGTGAGCGTCTCTGTTGTTCAAGCGGAACACTATGGATGTAGTTTTATTAGGGTTAAGGGTGAGGAACCAGGATTTGATATATTTCTATACTCTTACTAGATCATCGTTTAATATATGTTTTCATATGATTCTGCTTGAGCTACTAATCCCACATCATTTGCGTACGTAAATTTTCGTGACGAGGTATTTATGATATCCGCTGTGTAAACATTAAACAAGATGGGGGAGAGTACTGAGCCCTGAGGAAGACAATTTTGAAGGAATTTGTATTTGCTTACTTTCCCATATAGATGAACTTTACATTTTTTGTCTGGCAATATATTGTCAATTAGTCGCAATGATGTATTATATTTTATAATTTTGAAGTGGATAAAATTTAAAAAAATAATGCAAATTAGTTTCCAATGGTTTCTCATAATAATCAGTTAATGAATCAGAACAATCCTTAGTCTTAGAAGTACCTTCTTTATTGAGAAAAGGTAAAATATATAAAGAATATTTAATATTATATATTTTAGTTTATAGTTTATTCTAATCTAATATCAAATATAACAGTTATTATACATACCAGAGGCTTTATAGCAACGATTCCCAACCTCGGGTAGTGACCCAAATTAGGATCGCAGAGGTTTTTATGATGGGTAGAGAAAGCGTAACTTACATAATATTATATTATTTTTATTTCATTTTCAAGAA